GTTACACATGCAACCACTGTCAGAACTCCAGATAATAACCCTAGGGGCTTGTGACTATGAGGAGAATTAATATCCCATTAAGAGACCAAATGGCACTAGTGTGAGATCCTTTTAGCACCGAGAGTCCTTGAAGTCAGACGCTAACCTGCCTCCTTCAGCAAGCCCTGGAAATTTCATCTTAAATACCTCTGGGAGCAGCTCAGAAGCCCAAATGACAAAGGGATATTTGATAGGTAAGTGGCCCTCTAAATTTCCTTTGCATAAGGAAGACAAAAGCATTGTTTCTACTGCCACTGAAGCCCCAAACTTTCCCATTAGGAGACCTTGGCTATCACAAGGCTCTACTGCTATCCTGATAAGAAAGCAGGCTCAGCTGTTCAACTCAAATGAAATAAATGACTTGCCTCATGATAGTCAGAAGGCTCAGGGGATACTGCTTCTCACCATGACTGTGGTCTCCGGCACTAATCATAGTTTAGTGATTAAGGTGCTCACAACAAAACCTGTTGTGCTCTGCTCCAGGGCTAGAACTTGGTGGTCAACCAAGCCACTGTGAACACCTGCAGTCTAGATATCCTAAGAGGTTCTGGGGATTACTGGCATACATTGCTAGACTTGTTTCCTAGCCAAAGGAGACAGCTTCCAAATTTTCTGCTTCATATGAACAGCAAAGGTGTTCCTGCAAGCAATACTCTCTGGGGGCCAGAGCACTAAGCTAATTCTCAGCAGGATCTGGGATCCAAAATAGGCCAAGAGCCTAAGTTCTGCTGCTGACATAACTACAAGGCCAATATCAGGTAAAGAGACCAGCTGTAATTTATTTGATTTGTCATAATAGGCAACACATTCTTAAAAAAGACAGGTGGACACTTCTGCAGCCAAAAGGATTTAATTTTAAGTGTGCAATACTCTTATTCTTGGCCCAACCACTAATCTGTGTCTGTGAACCACTATTCAACTCCAGGGAAGTCCCTCCTCCTCTTGGGAACAGAGAGCTATATATCAATTAAACACTCTCAAGGGCCTTCCTCTCTAAGTATTTTCTGCTAAGGAATCCATGAATATTTTCTCTGGTAAGAAAACCAACAATGGTTTCCTTAATGGCAGAGTTGGAAAGATTTTTATAAAACTCATTAAAAAAAAAATCGGAAGTGGAGACCCAGAGTGGAAAAGTAACTCACTGAAGTCACAGTGAAAGAGACTCTTAAAAATCTTGGTTTTCGGGCCCTCTCTGTTGGCGCAGCGGGTTAAAGCACAGCACAAAGAAGCTTAAGCCACTTCCACATGAGTTCGATTCCCGCCTGCCCAGGAGGAGATCCTCATGGCAAGGCAGACCTTGCCCACCAGCTGCTCCCCTCAGCAGTGTACTTCGTGGATCTGCCTGTTCTGTTCCCCACGCTGTCTCTGGTGAATCCTCTCACCCTCTGCATCTCTGGCCTGTACCCCAGTTCTGTATGAATAAATAAATAAATCTTTACAAAAAAAAAAATCTTGATTTTCTGCAACGATGCCTTTAGATTCTCAACTCGTGCTGATCACATCAAACCTGCCTTCAGGACACAGAATTCTCTAAGGCTTCCTGACTCCACACTGCTTTCTCATACTGTTCTAAAGGCAAACCCATTCCCTGCCCTGACCCCCCTTCCACACAAGTAGAATGGGTTGAGATTTAACAAGCGCAGGTTCCTATCGGCTGTTGCCTCTCTGGTCATCGAGTGCAGCTAAGATAGCAGGATGCGGGGCTGCCCCCTCCTCCCAGGTGGGTTACCTGAGCACAGTCACGCTCCCTCTGCGCACGGGCAGGGAAAGCACAGGTTCCGACACCCGAATAGGCTTGAACTGGAACTTGCAGCCGAAGCAGAGAGCGGAGTCGCTAAAGAAGGACACGGACACGATGGGGCGCTCAAAGATATGGATGGGGTCCACGTGAGACACGATGCAGCCGCCGGGCTGGTAGTCATTGATGACGGCACTGTTGACGAAGCCCTCTGGGATGACGCGGTGCTCGACCAGCTTCTGGATCACCAACTGGTGCACCCACTCGGGAATCTCGTCCACGTCGCCCGGCGGATAGAGGCGCTCCTGACCTGGCCCACGCTTCTGCAGCTGAGCGCCGTACGTGTAGCCCTCGCCGAAGAAGTACTTGTTGCGCAGAGGGGCCCGGTCCACCGTGTGCTCGTTGTACAGGCCCTTCTCGGCGCGGGACACCACCTCATCGATGCGAGCTTCGATCTTGGCGCACTCGTCCTGGCTAAAGAGGCGCATCTGGCGGATACCGCTCTTCACCTTGCGCGCCTCCTCCTCCTTCTGCAGCTGCTGTTCTTCGTAGTCGCTGCGCTCGGGGTCCGAGTCCTCCTGGTACTTGCGCTTAGCCCCAGACACCGGGTAAGGTTCGGCGGCGGCGGCGGCGGCAGCGGCCGCGGCCACAGCGGCGGCGGCGGCGGCAGCTGCCTCCCGGCTGCCCCCCTTATAGTTGTCCCGGGACGTCATGGACTTGAGCTTCTCACGCAGGTCCGTGTAACCGCTGGCGGCCGCCATGGCCCCACGACGCTGCTTAGGGTCCTTCGGGGCGGGCGGGGCGGCCGGGCATGGCTCTCGGGGGACGCGCCCCTGGACCCCCGGAGGGAAGGGGGTCCTCAGCGCCAGACCCCCATGCGAGGCCGGAAGACCTGGAGAGGGGCGTCGAGGGGCTGGGCGCGGGGTCGGGCCTCAGGGGCGGCGGGTCATGCAGCGGTGGCGGCAACAGGATTTTCTCCTCCTCCACCCTCTCCACGACCCGGGGAGCTGGGAAGCCAGCAATACCTCATGCCGCGGAGGGCCGAGGTGGAGGCTCAGCCCGACTGCCGGCCAGACCCTCCGACGCCCGGCCCGGCCCGCACTTTAAAGCGCACCTCACGACGTCACGGGCCGCCCTCCAGAGGTCCGCCAGCGCCGCTCCTCAGCGGGATCCTCTGCGCGCACGCGTAGTGTAGTCGGCCACCGCGGCTCCGCGCGCTACGGGCATGCGCGTGCGTGCAGCTCAGACGGCGAAGGTACCCGCGCAAGCGCAGAGAAACCGTTCGTCGTCCGCTGCCCCTCCCCCACTCACTGAGGCTTGGAAGAAACACCCTCAAATAGCAACCTGCCTCCACGCCGCGCCACCTCAGTGACCGAAGGGCTCCCTCTATAGGAGTGCGCTCACGCTGCCAACGCTGTCGCTATGCTGCGTCACGGCATCGTGCGAGGCCCGCAAACGCCTCAGCCCCCAGCGCGCAATCACCAGGGAACCGCCACAACCTAGGCAGCCCCGTGACCGCCCCCTTTGGCGTTTCTACTTTTTTCATTGGACTACACGCCACGCGCCGGGAGAGCCCAAACTGAAGCATCCGGAAGTTGATTGGTAACCAAGTCTGTCAATCGGGTGGTCGCCTTGGCTACTGAGTCCGTGACTTAATTAGCCGCGGGGAGGGCGGTAAGGACCCCTGGAGGGTGGATGGGTGGCCAAATAAGTGCCTGAATGGCGAGGCCACTGGAAGTGCGCTCTCAGACGCTGAAGAACTTCTGAAACCAGCAGAAACTTCGCAAACTGTGGATGCGGGAGCAACGGTCCCAGCTCTGAGCCCAAACGGAGGCGGCCGCAGAAGCCGAACGCATAGTCTGGTCACCTCCCTGCCCCCATCCCCACCCCATTCCTGGTCTTCTCAGCCGCCGCCGCCTGACGGAGTGGACGTTCCACGAGTCACGTCCCGGTGGGGGCGGGCGCGTGCGCAGGCGGGGCACCCGACCTATACCGGCGTGGCTCTCCTTTGGGGCGAAACACGGGTTTGGGGGCACCTCCCTCGGGAACGACAGAAGCAGCCCCAAGGCGGAGAGTAGGCGCACGGATAATTAGTAGACAATTTTAAAAGTTTTGAGGCGGACCGGTGGGGCACGGCGCACGTCGTGAGCGGAGGCGTGGCGACTCGCCCTGCGCCGGGGGCGTGTCCACTTGAGGGGTTTCGCTTGAAAATAGCCCCTGGCGCCCTAGGTTAAAGATCATTTCCACTGCTCGGCTGCTGGCCTTTGTGGAAGGCCCTCTGGCTTTGTCTCCTTTCCGCTCCCTTGGGAACAGGGAGCCCAGCGCACCCTGACACCATCAGCTCTGCAAACACGATCACGCCCGGGCTTCAGCCCAGCTGTTTCTTCCCCTGGTGATGCTGCGTCAGGGCCTTGGCGCCGTGGGAAGGCCCCGCAATCACGGGGAACCGCCACTACCTCTCACCCATGCCCTTCTGACTGCCTTTTTTGCGGCCCAGCGCTCCCCTTTCTAGCAGCCTTCCCAAGTTCTCACTGACGCGAGATGCGACTTAGCCTTCATGATTTGGCCTCTCTGCCACCTTCTGCTTCACCTTGGCTCCTAGCCGGTGTCTCTGCCCTCCCCCAACTACCTTCTTCCTTACCTTGTCGGGGCCTAGGTACTGGTCTTAGAAATCTGACAGACTAGGGCTCCGATCTCGACATAGTGCGCCACAGGCTGTAAGACTCTGGGCCCTGAGTTCCCTTCTCTGAACTGCAGTTGTAAGAGGAACAATGGGAAACAACCTTCAAGTCAGTAGGTGTCCAACATAGCTAACTAGGTGACAAAAGGTGGAGATTTCCACACTGAGAACTCCACCGCAGACTTCCAGAAAGGGGGAGGGGAGAAGGGGTTGGGGGGCTGCAGCTGGGAACTAGGGGCTGGGCAAAGCTGCCACGTGGACTTTAAGGAGGGTAGCACAGGCTGCTGGTGCTCTCTCATTTAGCTGACTTCCTAGTCAGCCGAAACTACAAGTTAGGGAAGATGGCGTCTAGCCACGTGCAGACAACAAATCTCTCAACTCTCCATACCATATGTATATTATTTATTTTAAGATTTTCGCTTATTTAATTTATTTTGTGTAGTATAACTGGAGGGCGGCGGGGGTGGGGGTGGGGTTTGAGAACCCCAGAGACAATGGGGAGCAGAACAGGCAGCTGCATGAAACTTAGCTGCAGCGGGTGAGACAGGAGAGGTCTGGTGTGCCATGGCCACCAGGGAGGCCCCTTTTCTGGTATTAAGTCAACAAGTGAGGACCCTCAAATTGGATCATCCACTTTGTCCCACTGTTTGCCCCATAACAAGTGTTCTGGTCTGTAAAATAGGAGTAGTACCTACCTGGTATCATGAAATACAGTCATGTTTGTAAGGCAGAGAATATTCCTTAAGTCTAGACCTTAGTTTCCACATCTTAAACTGAAGCATGATCTACCAGCCTCTGCTGGAAGTGGGTGTTAGGTAATGGCAGGGCCTATGGGATGGGGAATCCTGAACACCTGAGGCCCTGGCCATTCCCTTGGGCCACTCACCTAAGAAGGAACAGCAGCCAATGCCAGGGAGAAATGGGGCAGGCAAGATGTCTGTGGTATATTAGGCTTCTGCCTTTTCCTGACATAGCCTAGCAGGGTGCCGTGCTAGTAGTGGTGTAAGGGAAAGGATGTCCTGTACAAGCTCTGCAGATGCAGGTTTTGTGGACTTTGCCCCCACTCCAGACAATGGAACTACAAATCCCAGCAACACCAAAGAGAAGCACGCTGGGACTGAGGGTGGAGTTAAGCAACACTGGGTATAAAACCAGACATGTGGGCTCTGGGGCTCTCTTGGCCTCGTGGCTCGCGGCTTGTCTCTTGGCTTTTTGCTGGCTTTCAGCGTGCTATTGGGGTTCCAGGTCAGCGGAACTGGTAGGACACATTAACCAACTTCTCTATCTCTCTTCCCCTGAGTTATTCATTTCCCTTTTTCTTGTAAATAAACCCGTTATTACCCTTTTTATGTGTGCCTGCAGTTGAATCTTACAAGTCCCTTTAAGGGCATGGGTGAGAACCCACAGTCAGGCCCTATAACAGTGGTAGGAATGCACAGTCAGGTAACCCAATGTGAATTCATACTAGGTTGCAATGTGAATTCACATTGGGTCCCCCTGTAACAGCTGTAGGAAAGTAGATGCAGGCAGTGAGACGGGGACCCAGCAGGGCCCCCTTACCGCATAATGAGCAGCTTGGCTCTGAGGGCTCAATCCCTTCAGAAGCCCTGCTTGACAGGGAACTCACTCCCTCAGTAATCACAAAGTTCTCCCAGCAACTCACCCTGTGGAACACAGCTTCGCTCAACTAGGCAAAAATGGAATCACCTCTGGTCTCAATAGCTTCTCCTATACCACATACCCCTTGGGTGTGTTCCTTCTGATCTCTCTGGACCAGGGCCTGATCCCCAGTCCTCTTGGTTGGAATTCTTAAATCTTTCTCAGGTTACTCGTTTATCCACTTAGCCTTTCCCAGACTTCTCCCTCCCTGAGCCCTTATATGAAACTTCTCTTTTCCCTTCACTATCCCACTCTTAAATCTAGGGTGGCTCATTCAGTGAAAGCACCTGGGGCTGGGACTACCCAAGAAGTGCAGAAGTGGAGACAGGGTTCTGCAGGGTTAGGTAAGGACAGATACGTCAGTTGGAAGCTCAGTACAGCTCCTGACACCACCATCAGGGTCCATGTCTGAGTTTCACAGGGAATGCCTCCCCTTTGAGTTATCTGCTTCTCTATTCAAAGCACAATGTGAACAGATTGCCCCACCCCCAACCTCTACAGAAAACCCTGGAAGCCTCCTAAATAGCCCTTGAGGTGAAATACTAAATTCTTAGTGTAGCAGGCAAAGCCTTACCCAATCTACCCGTTGGCTTCTTTAGCCTCAAGTCCTGCTACTAGTAATGTCCATCTCAGGGCTTTAGCCCCTGCACATGCTGGTCCCTCCCTCATTACCTGGCTAACTTTCACTCATAGATCTTGTCCTGAGCGCCTAGCTCTAGCCTAGTTCACATTAGACACTTAACAGGTATTGAATGAGTAAATAAAACCTTCTGACACCGTAGATCCAGTCAGTTATGTCCCCACTTACCTACCCAGCCTCCCACTTCCAAGCCTAGCGCCTCATTCCCCAAGTTCCTCAGAGCACCCATACTTTCCCTCAACATTCATCTATTCTTTCATTCTTGCAACAAGTGTTTTAAAGTGCCTGTTCAGTGTTAGGCATTTTCCTAGGCTCTAGGAGGGATAGCAAGGAAAAAATATTTTCTTTACTTGGAATGTTCATTCCCTTTCCCTCCACCTATTCTTAGCAAACTCCTACTTACTCTTTAAAACCCAACCCCAAAGTCTCATTCTTTGGGAAAGCCTTTCCCAGACTTCTCCCTCCCTGAGCCCTTATATGAAACTTCTCTTTTCCCTTCATTATCTTGCTTTTAAATCTAGGGTGCCTCATTCAGTGAAAGCACCTGGGGTTGGGACTACCCAAGAAGTGCAGAAGTGGGAACAGGGTTCTGCAGGGTTAGGTAAGGACAGATACCTCTGTTGGAAGCTCAGTACTTGGACAGTGAGTCAGGAGAACAACTGGGCTTCCAATTCCTGCCTCTTCCCTCAGGCTTGTTTTCCAGTTACTCAGCAACTCCATGGAAGAATGGCTGCCAGGCACGCCTTTTATTTGCACAGAAATGACCAAGGGTCATGAATTCAAGCTGAGTGGGGGAACAGGGAGAGGAGAGGATGCCCCTGAGGTGGTATGTGGAGGAATGCAATGTGGGTAGGAGCAGATTTGAGCATCAGTTATGCAGGCTGCTGGCAGAGGCTGCCTCACTGCAGGTGGGAGTCAGGAGCGGGGCCTGCAATGGATCCATGGCAGGAGGCCCTACCGGCCAGCCTGTGCAGGTTCTTCCTGCCATCCAACCCAAGTCTGCACACTGATGCCATCCAACTTTGGGTTGATTCTTGGAGGTACTCTGGGTTGTTCCTCCAGTATCCTCTTGGTCTCCCCCAAAGAAACCCAGTAATGCCCCTGGAACTGACAGTGCAGATTCTGACAGAGGGCAACTAGATTGCTGGGAACTGGATCAGAGCAAGGTGATCTCACTGGGGGGCAGCGTGAGGCGCTTCTCACGAGCACTGAGTAGGTTCTCCACGTGCACAGCCACCACGCGGCACAACTCCAGGCCCTGCAGGAGAGAGAGTGCAAGTCCATGCTCATCCGGTACTTCCCCAGCTCTCCCCTTGGGGTGAGACAGATTGGGAGAGAGGCTGGCCAGCCTCCACTGAGGCATTCGCAGGCCCCACCTTTCCCAGGTCCCTGGAGAAGTATGGGATGCTGGGAGGAGGAATACTGGGGTACAGGCTGGAAGGGGTAAGCAAGCAGATCAGGCGCCTCCTAAACATCCAGCCGGTTTTACTGCAGGGGAACTGTGTCTGGGGCCAGCTACCACAGCTCTCTGAGCCTCAGTGGCCTCATTTGTAAAATCTCAATGTAACACTGGTGAGGATTCCATGAAATTTTATTGCTTGGAAATCTTTAGATTTGAAAAATAATAGGCCAGTCAATAAATGGTAACAATTTCTGCTTATGTGTTGCCATGGTTACTACCTGGCACTCAGTCCTGAATAAGCTATAACCCAGCCTCTGGCTCCCATGTGCAGTGAGGCAACAGGTCAGAGTCCAAAAGCCACTTGCCCCAAACCTCATAGCTGGTAGGTGTTGGTGACCTGAAGCCAGGTGGTAGGAGACTCAAGACACACACTGAAGTACCCCTTATTAAGATTTAGCTGTCTCTGCCCCAACTTTCCATGGCTCCCTAGTACTCTCAGGAAAAAGCCCCAGATTCTTAGCTTCTTCTGACATTCAAGGACCTTCATGACTTCCCCTCCCTTGGCCATGTATGTCTCCCTTGCCCACAATTCCACCACTAAGATGCTTTGATGGAAGACCACCCTGGTCACCCATAGTTCTGTGCAGTGTTGGGCTTGTCCCCTGAACTAGGCTGGATGCTTTCTGGGGCACAACAAGAACCTGACCCATTTTGGAGCCCAGTGAATGAAATGAGGGAAACGGGCTGAGTGGCAAGGCCTAGGTGTCAGGTGGGGCTCACCTGCTCCAGCTGCAGCTGCATGGTACGCTGGGTGGCCACATCCCCCAGTGCAATCTCCACATAGGGATAGCTGGAACTAGCCGTGGGCCGCTGGGTTTGTGTCGACTGGATCTCCTTCAGGGGGAACTTCACCATTAGCTCCTGTGGGTGGAAAGAGGGGCAGAGAAGCTTGTGGTGGGATAGCCTCATGCACCCTTACCCCTCCCCTGCACATCAGGTCTGTAGGAGACAACAGCTTGGTTTGAGTACCAGTTCCCCAGCCTGCTGTATGACCTGGATGGTTGCTTTACCTCTCTGGACCTCAGTATCTTTACTTGTGAGGTTGATTCAACAAACGCTGACGCATATATCTGCAGCGTGCCAGGTACCGTTCTCAGTGCTTGGGATGCAGGAGTGAGGTAGATGCCAGCGATGCCCTGACCTTACGTCAAAGCTGCTTCTCGTGAGCACTATACCCTTGCACAGGGGCTTGCTTTCTAGTCCAGGAGCAAACTCAAACCACATGCTCGGGCAGCCTGAGCAATGAGTTGATACCTCAGTTGATGGAATGGAGCATGCTCTCTTGATCAGGACCCCTGAAGGGGTCCCCCAGGGGTGTGCTCCCTGCTGTCTCCCAGGCTTCCCAGTTCCCCCAGCAGTAATTTGCTTGATAAAAACCCTTCCCAAGGTGTGCCTCCAGGATGTGGGAGATGTCTCTTCTGGGTCTCACATCTTAATCCAATATTTCCTAGAACTGCCTCCAAATAAACTACTTGCTCTGGAATCCTCATCTAAGGTCTATTTCTAGGGGCAAAAAATAAGTAAGTAAGGGGGTAACAAGTCCTATGTTTTATGAACGGAATTATGTTCTCCCTAACTTCATAAACTGAATTGCTAGCCTTTAGAATGAAGACATACCTTCAAAGAATTGATAAAATTAAAATGATACCATTAGGTCTCGTTGCATCTCACTGGTGTTCGGACAGGAATGTACACACACACAAAAAGGTGATAGGACACAAAAAGGTGGCCATCTCCAAGCTAAGGAGAGAGGCCTCGGAGGAAACCACCCCTCCAGCCACCTTAAGACTGTGGACCCCAGGATGTGAGAAACACATTTTTTTGCTGAAGCCCTCTAATCTGTGGTATTTGGTTACAGCAGCCCAAGCTGACTAATATGCTTTTGAGTGCTTAGTACAGGATACACACATCAGCTCACATGAGTTCTACGGAAGGAATCCTAATTTTCCCTTTTCCCAGACGAAACAGTGAGGCTCCGAGTGGGGGAGACTTACTCAAGGTCATACGAGGGATAAGCAGTGATGCCAGGTCTCCATGGCTGGAAACCTCAGCGCTCGGAGTGGGGGTGGTGACCAAGAGAGCGGGTGTCAGACTGAATCCACTTACATGGGTCTCGGTGCTGAGAAAGTTGAGCCCATTAAGGTTAACAGCAAGGATACAAGGGGCTGGCACCGCCATGCTGCTGCAGCTCTGGACAAAGAAGAAGGAGGAGCCGAACATGGGGAAGGCACTGAGGAGGCCTGGGAGGAGGAAGGACACAGTCACGATAGGGCACTCTGGTGAGGACAGCCACAGTCTTCCCTGCCTGCAAGCCCTCCCTCTGGGTCTCCTCCATCCCTGCTCACAGTGCTTCCCCTGCACTTCCAGTCCTCTCTGTTCAGGGCTACCCAAAGTCTAGGTAGCGCCTCTGAAAATTTTAGAGGTGTTTTCTCTAGGTAGATGCTCAGCTTGGCTAGCACCAAAAATAACCTGTATGCAAAGAAAACCACCTCCATTCCCAGCCTCCAGACTATACTGAGCATAGTCCCAGAATTCTCCCCAGCGCTCTAATCCCCAACTCTTACCTAGAAACTGTGCACGTGCCTGGTGGGGGCTGAGCGCCTGTGTCTGCTGCCGGTGCTGGCTGACCAGGTTGAGCCAGGCTGAGCCGGCCACAGTGTAGTAGAGCTGGGCTGGAATGTATTCCTGGACCTCCCGCCTGTGTGTGTGGGGGAAAGCAGTCCTGAGCAAAAATGCTCTGGGCCTGTATGGCGGGTGCTAAACACAACAGACATGACCTCCACAGCCCCCTGGGAGACTCAATGCCACAGCGTGCGGGCAGGTGGAGGTGGGGTGTAAAGTGCTCGGTGGTCCCTTAGGACAGCAGGTGCTCAGTAGATGCTGGCCTGGATCACTAGGTCCCAGTCTGAAGATGAGGGAACCAAAGAAGTTCACCCAGGTCACACAGTGACTCTCATGGGGGAAAGTGAGACTTGAACCCTAGGGATATTTGTCTCTTGCAGCCCTGCCCACCCTGGACGAGAAGTACTTGGGTGGAGAAGCAACCACTAGCAGGTGGTGAAAACATGGTGGGCAGAGAAGTGTTAGGTTCTAGGGCGAGCACCCCACTCCAGGGCCATCAACACTCCCAGTCCTTTCTACCAGATGCTGGCTTCCTGCATTTTAGAACATTTGAATCATATCAACGGCGCGCCAACCCCCTTGCAGCCCGGACTGGGGAAGGGTTGAGAGAATTCAGGCGACACGCTGGTCACCAGGACACTTCCAGGCAATACTTTTCCTTCTTTGCACTGCTGGGGTAAGAATCTGGCTTCTGGGCCTACTTCCCCAGGTTTGGGCCCCAGGTCTTCCAGTCAGGTAAGCCACATAAGTATACAAGGGGGAACTAAATGTGGTTGGGAAGGTTAGCTGAGATAGTGTGTGCAAAGAGCCTTGTAAAACTCAGTGATTTGTTTCTGTGCAGCAGTGAGGCTTACCTTTATGTGCTTTCTATACTTTTCACTTAAAATTACAAAATACAGAGAACTTAACATATTGAGACCCTACTGCATTATGGGAACTAGCACATACACTGTACCTACATCGTCTTATTATTTACACCAGGGGTTCTCAAAATGTGGTCGAGAGTGGAAGGAGGTCAATGCCACCTCCAGGCTGACATCCACATATTTTCCTCCCCCCTCCCCCCCGCCTCTGCTCCCACAAGGAGCTTTCCCAGGGGCTGTGTGACAAGTGAGATCCCAACAGACTGGCTGTGGAAGAGGAGCTGAGTATGTTGCTGCCTTCTATTAAGCCAGATGGTAAAGAAAGATTGACAAAATGTGGAACATTGCCATTCTTCTCACTAAAGTTGGGGAGGAAGTGTTTTATAAGTTATTTAACATGTAATGAATTTATTTTTCAATGAATTAAGATCAATATTTTTAGTTGTTTCTTGGTTCTAATTTTAAATAGGGTAAATCAACTGGTAGATATGACCCACATAAACACAAGCTCTTTGGAGTCCTAGTTTTAAAACAGTAAAACAGTCCTAAGATCAAAAGTCTGAGAATGACTTTGAGAACATCAGTTTAAAAGCTGCCTGGGGCCCCCCTGTCAGTGCAGGGGTGAAAGACGCAGCACTACCAGCAGCCACTGCAGCACGAGTTCAATCCCCAGCCAGGGAACTGACCCACATTGCACGGCAGCCCTCTTCTGTCTCACCTGCTACTCCCCTCAGCAGGGTATTTCAGTAGATCACCTGTTCTGCTCCCCACTCTGTCTCTTGTCTCCCCCCCTGCACCTCTAGCCTAGCTCTTGTATGCATAAAAAAATAAATCTTTTTAATAAAAAGTAAAAGCTGCCTAACATCTCAGAATTTATTTAAAGAATTCCCTATTGATGGATATTGAGGCTGCTGTTGGAGGTGACACCGCAGTGAATGTTTCTGTGGCCAAATTTTCCACATAGCCACGTGTATTTCCCAGACTACAGGTATGTGTGCACTAAAAGTCTTTTTTTGTCTGTGTTAAATTTGTTCTGAGTTATTACTACCAGACAGAAGGAACCTGTCATGGAAGGAGGTGGGGTCCCAGCTCATATGAAGAGTTAGAGGACTTCAGCCCCAAGCCAGGGCAGCCCCTCCGCGAGAGAGCCCTGCTGGTACAAGAGGGAGGTATGGGGGCCTGGGATGGCCAGCTCTGAGGAGCTCCAGGGTTGGGGGCTGGGCTGGTAGGTGGGCAGGGACTCACACACTGGGCAGGTAGAAGTGGTCCTTGGCCCGGTGCTGCAGCGAAGCTAGCTTGGATACCTGCTGCAGCTGCTGTTCACTGGGCCGGTGGGCCGGGACGCTGCTGAAGAGCCCCTTCAAGTAGTCAGGGAGGACCTGTAGGGAGGCACACCCATGAGGGGTTACAGCGAATGCACTTGGGCATATACACATCATTTTAAAGGCTGCTGTTCCAATTACTTCGGGGGGGTGGGGGGGATAGTCCATTACTTTCCTGGTTTTTGGAAAATGGTGACAGATAAGTGGGAGTGAGCTGTGAGGACTGTAACCTTGAAGCCCACATGGGAGTTCTTACAGTGACCTGGGAAGACCAGGGAATCCAAACTGCAATATGCAGAAGTAGCCACTAGGCCAGGGTTTCTGAAAACTGAGCATACAGCAGAGTCACTAACAGGCTACTGGGCTGCACCCCAGACTGATTCACCAGATCTGGGGCAGGACATGCTTCTGTCCACAGGTCACACCTGGGTTAGCACCATGCCAGCCTGCAGGGTTACAGGTTAACAGCGACACCATGCGGCCACTAAAATAAAGTGCCTCTTTTGCGCTGGGTCTTGCTGAAGCTTTGGCACCAATTCCACAAAGATAGGCACTGTCTGTGCAAGCACTCCCACAAATGTTAGCACAGGAAGGGAGGACAAGATTTTGCACACTCCAGGGTCCTGATTTAGAGAATGTCAAATTCTCAAGGGGGAATAGCAGGCAAAAATAACAATGACAGCCAAAGCCCGCTCTAGCCTTTGTGTGTGGAGCAAGCCAAGTGCCCTGAGGAAGAGGGAATCAAGAAAAAAGGGGAAGTCACAGGCAGCTTCATGGAAGAAGCACTTTGTTAGGGGTGGCCTTGCAGAAAAGGACTTAGAGAAGCAGGAAGGACCAACTCGATGGGGGAGGGGGGCGGTGTCACGGCATACACAAAGGTCAGGTAGAAAGGGTGACATTATTTGACTGCTCTGAGGAAACCATGCTGGGGCACAGAGGCATCTAGAAATGTCATTGGGGTGTGAATCACAAAGCTCTCAAACACCAAGGCCATAGAGTCTGATCTCACAGACCCTTGGGGCACCTGGAAGGCTCTAGAGCAACAGAATGGCCCACTGGTGCTGACCTGATTGTAGTGCATGGTCACATACAGCTCGTTCTCAAACTTGAGTGGTTGGTCCCAGAGCACACGCCGGAACCAGAGCATGTAGCCACCATCCACCTGCTCCATCTCTGAGGCCACGTCTAGGATGTAGGCGCGGCGGCTGAGTGGGCACACGTGCTGGCCTGCAGAGAGCGGAGGCAGCTGGGTGCGTACATGAGGGCAACACGTACACCTGTGCAGACACCTGGGTCAGGCACCACCTGGGGCAAGCCCTCCCGGCTCTGGGACGAGTGTCCTCCGCACAGGAAGACATGTCTGTGGAACAGGATGCCCCATGTTTACTGCAGTGTTGATCACCACGAAGGCAGTATGAGGCGGAGGAAATCTTAGGAGACAAGAGAGGAGTCAAGGGTGGTTCGTGGAAGAAACAGGCAACACGGTGATTCTCCAAAAGGTTTCTGAGCAGCATGCCTAGGTCTCCTGGGTTGTGCTCAGAGAAAGACCAGCTTCCTGACAGAGAGGGTTGGGCAAGGAGAAAAGCAATGGACTTCAGTCATGAGACAGTTGGTACCTTTTCAGAACTCCTTCAGGAGAGACCTTGCTGGGTCCCAGACAGGACGTCGTAGGACTCAGGCATGGCAGTGAGTGGGTCTGAACCGTGAGAGAGGCTTATGGTTTTCTTTCTTAACATGTGGGCTCCTCACCCCACACTATCAGTAAAATTTTACCAAAGAGAGAGACTTATGATGATCTAATTTAGAATCTTGAAGCCAGATTGCTTGGGTTCAAATCCCAACTACACGATCATGGGTAAGTCCCTTTGAATAATGACCTCTTCCCCAAAAGACATGCACATCCTAATTCCCAGAAACCGAGAACATCTTCCTTTATCGTAAGAGGGACTCAGCAAGTGTGTTTAAGCTAAGGGCCTTAAAAGGGGGAGCCTGGGTTATCCAGGGGACCCTAATATGATCACCAGGGTCTCCGCCTCATAGGGTAGTTGTGGAGATGACAGGATTAAATGCTTTGACCAGTGCCAGGGACAGAGTGTCTGCTCATAAATGTTGGTTACCGGGACCCTTTTGTTATTGCTGTCCCCTCCCCCACAGTCTGGACTTGGAGGACACAGTTGAGGACCTGGCCTGAGGTTCAAGTCCAGGGCTGAGGCAGCAGTGGGGAGAGCTGGTGGCAGGCCAGGAGCTGACCAGCTAGCAGGAGACAAGACCATGGTTTAGAGTGGGAAGGCGAAGGTTTTGGATTCTAGAAGCCTGAGATAGAAGAAAGAATGACCTGAAGAGACCTGGCGGAGACAGGTGGACTCAGGGTTGGGCAGTACAACACACAGAGGTCCTTCCTCGTGGGGGTCCGAGGGCTTCCTGGAGGGAGCTTACCTGGCTTAAAAACCTGGTGGTGGACATGAGCCTCATATGCTGGGTCCTCCTGTTCACTCACCTCGATTGGTGACCACAAAGATGACATACTCATTGAAGGCCTCGGGGCGTGTCAGGGCCATCTCAGCACAAATCTCTTCCACCACATCCAGGGCCACCTCAGGGGAGGGAAGAGTCTGTGTGAGCTGGCCGCCCAGCCTCTGGCCTCCAGGCCTAACAGGCTAGGCTCAGAGTTCCTCAGGCCTTCAGTCCAGAGGCAAAGGATCCCTGGGGTCTCTGAACATGAGAAGGAGCACAGTTTCTGGTGTCCAAGACAACCAGGTTCAGATTCTGCCTTTGTCTCTCGCTTGTAGTATGACCCTGAGCCAGAGTTGTTACCTTGCCAAGCTTCAGCCTGCCCTTCTAAAAAATAAGTCCTACCATATGGGGTTGTATGAAAGCGTGGGAAGGGCTCCTCTTGGGGAGCCCACCCAGGAGTCTGGGGTCTCCCTGTCCATGTCCCTGACCCTATCCCTGCCTGCCAGAGATGTCCCCTTACTTACAGTGCATGTTTTGATTTTGAGATGGCGCTCCAGACCTCCAGGAAGAAGAAAGAGCTGCCTCTTGGAACTGCGGCCCGCCTAGGGGTGGGGAGATGAGAGCGTCCTGGGGTCTGGGCTCACCATTGTCTCCAGCCATGAGGGTGCCCACGTCATGAAGTGCCAGTAGGCATATGCAGCAGCACGTACACACCTGGGCCTGCCAGGACCGCCTGCACGTCTCTGGGCAGGCAGTACACGTGAGAGGGTCCTGGGAAGGCTCATGTCTCCCCCTCACCCCCACTGTGCCCAACACTCACCAACATGGCCCGAAGCTCCATGCTGCTGGGGAGCGCCAGACGGCCACCAAAGCGGAACGTTTTCTGCAGGTTCTGCTCACAGGCCTTGGCGATCCCTGCAGAGACGGGGAGACGTGGCCTTGCTCAGGACAGGCAGTGGAAGGAGGGGCTCCTCTCGCCACCAGCCATGAGTGGGGTAAGTATTTACTCTCCCACTGGGCAAATGAGATCAGAGAGGGGCAGTGACTTGCCCAAGGTCAAGCACTGGAATCTAAGAGCTGCATTCAAACCCATAGCCCATGTGGCTAAGGACTCTTGTCTCACTCATGGTCTTTTGGCTACTTATGAGTGCTAGAAATATCTGCTGCCTTGAGCTGCTGACTTGGGGGGCTGCATGGCTATGTGGGGCAGCTCTGCTTCTGGCAGCTGGGACCCCTTGCCACCCTCCCTTCCCCCTGGGACTGCACTGGCTAATCCCAGTGCAGACAGCTAGGCAAGGGCAGCCAAGACCCTGGAGGAGGGGACAGCAGCACCATCAGGGCCCCGAAGACTGATGCTTAAGGGGGAGATACTATGCCCCCCGCAGAGGGAGAATCACTGGATAAGCAGTGCCCTCCCCGTCCTGGGAAAAGGGTAGAGTCAAGAGTTTTAGGGCACATTCTGCTGCCTTCATGGAGCTGGGAACTCTTCTCTGGGAGGCTGGGTCTGTTCACCTATGTCCAGGAATGTTTGTTAAGTGAGTCAAAAAGAAGGCTCAGGAGCAGAGGGTGAGGCTCCCTTTCTTCATGGTAACACAGGGCACTAGCCTCTTTCTTAGAGGACTCAGGGCAGCTATGGAAACACAGGTAAGGATGCAGTTCATAAGTGACCCCTTTTCTCCATTTTCCAGGAGGTTAAAGGCCGAGACCCTGCCCTAACTTTGGGCCTGCCCCTGCCCAGGCCCACTCACAATCCTTGTAGATTCCCAAAGACTAAGGAAGCAGAGACTCACCCTAGCACCTGCCTGGCCTTTGCCCAGCTCCTTCTCCTCTCTCCTCACCTGACACATATTCCCACCTCTGAGCCTTTGTGCCCACCTCTCTGCTCTACCAGAAATCCCTCCCATGTGTTCACCACCCAGGCTAGTACCTCTGCCAGGAAGCTTTCCCTGATGTGTCTGCCCCATCACATCAGACAACCCACATCAGCATCTGAAGGGCCTCCATGCATATTGGGGGAGTGAGTTTTTATTAATAAACATTATCTGTTTTCCTTTGCTGACCACCCAGCCAGTCCCCACACAGATGGGCTCTCAGCCCTGGGTCCCCACTCACTGGCCCCTCACCCTGGAAGGGCAGGCCTGGAGTCTTGCTCACATCTTGGAGGAAGCGAGTCAGGTGTGGCTGGAGGACCTCAGAGCAGCTGTGGTAGGCAGCCACGATGTACAGCAGCCTCCAGCCTCGCTGGCAGCTGTCCCTGTGAGGACATGCGGTGGGGGAGGGCACAGCACGTGACCACATTGCCACGCCAGGAGTCTCCTGGGGTCAGGCTGGAGGCCTGGCTCTCAGGCAGCTTCACCTTCTGAGGATGCTTCTCTGCCCAAAGAGAGCAGGGCAGGTGGCTGAAAGCCGCACAGAAGACACGTTCTCTCCGGGAAGCCGGGGGGAGGTAGGGAAGGAAGGGGATGATGCCCTGCCGTGTCCAACACGCCCCAGGAAACAAGCCTATGGGTACAGTCTCTCCAGGGAGGTTTCTGGGCTTCTGGGCGGAGGTCCTTGAAGGAGAGCAAGGGGAACCCTGCTAGGGCTGCCCAGAAAAGCAACCCGTAAAGATCGGGGTGGGACCAATGGCTCTAAAATCCCTGGCGGCATGGAAGAGGGACAGCAGATGGGGTCAGGGCCTGGCAGCAACACGAGCAGCACCCCGTGTCTGATCCTACATAAAACAGTCACTCGTCTTCACTCTGTACTAGGTGTGAGGGCTTCATCTGTGGGACCTCTGGGGTCTGGCGACAGCGCGTGGGCTTCCTTTTGGAAACAGCTCACCACTCCTTGGGTCTCTGTGGTTTGGAAATGGGCAGGGGAGCCAAATCCTGCCAGGCAGAACACTGCAGTCCCTGCCCACAGTGATTGCGGTGGAGGCCAATTAGAGTTCAGCCTCCCTTTGGTTATGGGGGTAGGTTTGATGGTAATAATGGGGCCCGGGGGTCTGGCCAATCAGAGCTCTGTATCCTACAGCCACTAAGGTTGGTGGTTGGTTCAGAGATAGGTCTATTGGATCAGGGATGGAAATGTCACCACGTCAGGTCAGTAAGACTGGATCCAGCAGTTTCTGCAGCAAATATTGGGCCGACCTGGCTTCCCCTGGGATTGCTGAGCTGGGCAGTTTCCCCAGAGGCACTATCTTGCCAGTCTATGGGCGATGTTGCTTGAGAGTGTTGTCTCCACAAAGGAAAGCAGAGCCAGGCATGAAGATACCCCATTTCCTAGCGACATCTGGCTGTGACCTGGATTCTTCAGTTCCCTGATTCTCTCTTGCTTAAACTGCCTCGCACTGGGCTTCGGTCAGATGCAACTAAGAATCTGGACTTCCACATGATCACTGCCATTTTACACATGAGGAAAGCAAAGCTCAGAAAGCGGAAATGTCTTGTTCCAAACTAAGCAATTCCAATTTCCTGTGCTCTGTCTACTGAGTGAGGAAGAGGATGAGGGAAAGGGAATCCGGAAGGGGGTCGCTGTGGGGATGGGGGGAGACAGCTGGTTTGTCCTAGAGCCTGCACAGTGTGGTGGGAAGAAGAGGAAGCGAGCAGAGGTAAAGACCCAGCTCACTTACTGCTTGGTGCTGGTGTTGTCCGTGATCTGCTTTACAACTTGACAGTAACACTCATCCCGCATGACCTCGTGGTCTCCACACAGCTGAAGAAGGACCGGCCAGGTCACATGCCAAGGCCATGCCAGGGCCCATGCCACATACCAGGCGCATAAACACAGGAGAAGGATCTGATGTCCCTTCCCTACTCCCCTCCCCACCAATGGAATATACTCCTCTTGGGCTTCCCACCCAGTCTCCTAGAATAGGTGGGGAAATTGAGCCTGGGTGCAGGCACGAGACCATCTGGCAAGGCCAGCTGAACTGACCTTCAGTAGAGCACAAAGCACATCCAGTTCGCTCTGGCCCTTCAGCGGGGCGTCTCCCATGAACCTCATCACCGCTGTAGGGAAGACTTGTCCCACTCAGCCTCCCAGGCCCCCAGCTACCCACCCACTCCAGGGTACCCCAGAGGTGGGCCCCCCTCTAGTATCCTGTAGCCAAGTTCCTTTGGGGATTCCTCTTCTCTGGAAGGGGCCCCATGTCTGAACGAGAGGGAGGGGAAGAATAGGAGGACCCAAGGCGTGCTGACTGGGGCTCACACAGTGCTCGACACCCCCCACCTCAGCTTCGGGGCCCTGGCTGCGGCCCCACCCCCAAACCTAGGAACATGTCTGTGGCCATCTTGTTGAGGCTGAGGTCACTGAGCTCGATGAGTGATTCCTGTAGTGGGGTCTGTGGGGGGGGGGGAGGGTAGTGTCACGAAGTGGAGACAGCAGAGCAGAGGGCTGCATTGTGCTTCCTGTCTTATACAGGAGGGTGACATTGCATAAAGGGAGGCGGGCCCAACCCTGAGGATAGGTGTTCCTCTCAGCACCCCCTCAGGGTGTTGAGAGTTTCAGGGTTCCACTAGAGACCAGACTACTTGCCAAAGGGGCCTGCTGGGGCTCTTGCAACCTCATTTTATAAATGTGGAACCTGAGGCCTGGGCTTGGATACCTTAGTGAAGCAAAGCATGTCCTCCAAGGTTCTGGACTCCCGGCCCTCCTTGGATTTCAGCCTGAGGCCATCCCTGCAACAGGTTGTGGTGGGGCATTACTAAACCTCTAAGCCTTTGGCTACACCCTTTTCCCACACAGGGACGGTGTTGATCAAAATTCAACCAAGCAGGACGGTTTCCAAAAGCTGAGGCTGCAGATGGCCCTTTCCCACAGGTGGTGTCTCTCGCCCCCACCCACGGGACTCCCAGACTGACCGCCTGCAGCTCGGACAGCAGCAAACAAGCCTAGAACCCTCCACAGCATGAGAATGAAGGTGTTTCAGCCACTCACTGGGGTCTCTTCTGAGGGTCTCGGAAATACTTCTGGGCAAACTCGAGCATTGTGTGTGGTGGGAGAGCCAGGCTGCCCTCCCCATGGTCAGCTGAGCCAGCCCTGACAGGGGGACCCTGCAGCAGGGTCAGAGATAGGGAGTCACATCCACTCTGCCACATCCCATCCCGGCTGAAGTTGACTTCAAGCCACCCTGGAAGGGGTTATGCCTCCCACCACCTGGACCCGCCCACTCTGCTGGCCACGCCCACAATCGTGGCAGATAACCCCCACACACACACTTGGCCACGCCACCAAAGCCACTGTCCCTGCCAGCGGACAGCCTCCCTAGCTGTCTTGCTGATCTGCCCCTTCATCTAACCTAGGCTGGTTTCATTCTACATCTTCATCTAACCTAGGCTGGTTTCATTCTACATCTTCATCTAACCTAGGCTGGTTTCATTCTACCCCCCCCCCACCCTACACCAGGACATCTTCATCTACTGGAAATCCCGCTCCTTTTGCTGGGTACAACCTGACCCCTACTCTTCCTGTCCATTTGCCACATCTCTCATCTCTGGGTCACACAGATCCTCCTATTCCAGAACTGGACACATGTTGGCCGACCTCGCTGCCATTCACCCCCAGAGTCAGGCTGACGCCTTGCCCTAGCCCTGCCCCACCCCAGCTCAGCTCCATCCTTGCCTGTCTCACCTCCCTCCTGCGGCCCACCTCCCGTGCAGCGGCGGTGGAGGCCACAGCGGCGGCCACTGCAGCTGCCCGGCCCCGGCCTGGCTCTGCTGGCAGCTGGAGAAAGTCAGGGGCAGCTGCAGGCTGCACCAAGTCTGAAGGGAAGCGGCCCACGCGTCCATGGATGGTCCCGAACCTCCAGCCTGGGGGACAGGAAAGGGGTCTAGGCAAATAGAAGGGCGTTGTCTCGGGGGGCCCTCGGTGTCTTCTTGACTCCTCCCCGGGCTCTGTACGGGAGGCACGCCATGGAGACTATTTACAGCTGAGGAAGCAGAGACTCGGGGAAGGGAAGGCTTTCCTCTGCAGGACGTAGAGCAGAAAACAGGCTTATGGTCTCAGAGAGAGACCTGGATCACAAACATGGAAACACTAATGCCTATAGAGACTCTGTCAGATAAGCAGGCAGAGGCCTGGGCCAATGGCCACTAGGCCACACCCTTTGGGGCATCTGCAGTGTGAGTGCAAGAAACCTGGACAGGCCATATTGGAGTTTCTAGGTTTGGAGCACTGGAGGCTCGACGGGGCGTCAGGGGTACCCACCAAAGTCGGGGCCTCTACGCCGCAGCTCCTCCAGGTACACGACCTTCTTTCGGACAACACAGCCAGCGCTGTAGCCTGAAGAACAGGTTTACGGCAGCACCTGTCAGAGAGTCTGCGGCGCCCAGCCTTCCCCTCCACCCCCACCGCTCCGTGCTGCTGACCCATTCGAGGTGGCTCCAGGGGCTGCAGGTGAATGATGTCACCCTTGTGGAAGGCCAGCAGCGCTGGGTCCTCAGGCAGGAAGTTCCTCACAGCGACCACATAGTCCGAGTCCTGGGCCAGCCAGGGTGAGGGCTGTAGTCCCACCCCCTCCTCCCAGCAGCTGGGGTTCTCCCCCCCTACTTCTACCTCCCCAACTCCTTACTCATCAGGGAAAGCGGCCCAAGGCCGAAGGGGAAGGATATTCCAGGTAGGTGGCAGAGAGGACTCGCTGTTAACCTGAGGGCTGCCCATTCTGGAGAGTGGGTGGGAGGTGGGCACTGAGCTGGACAACGGCTGGCAGCGTGGGCATTGCAAGAAAGTGAGAGATGCCACTGCTGGGTGCCCAGGGGAGGCGCTGTGGCTCCCCAGTGAGGGCGTTGGTAAAGGTTCTTATATCCTTATTAATTTTTGCGCAACATAAGATTTCTCCTCTCATGTGTGGTCTCCATAGTTCTCCGACCACTAAAGTGCCCATCGTCCATCACCATAGTCCCTCGTGCTCTCTCCTGATACATTGAAAAAGGCGGAAAGGGCGTCCCAGGTGTAAGGTCCAGCAAAGGCCCAAGGCCACAGTCTGACACGGCCAAGACACACACATGCACTTCCCAGGCAGGCACGGCTGGGGTATATATGGGCTGGGAGAGGCCTGATCTTGGGATCTTAGTTCCTGGTGGGGGGCGTCTGTGAGAGGACCCCTAACCTTCTTCAGCTCCAAGATGAAGTCATCCACCAGGGTCTTGACCTGGTGAGCGCGGGCTGAGAAGAGGATGACTTTCTCGTTGGCCAGGTTGAACTCCAGCATGTTCTGGGAGGGGATGGTCACAAACAGGATATCGGCAAAGCTGGAGGGTGAGAAGGTGGCATGAAAGCAGGACTCCGTGGCCAGAGGACGCCTCCCCACTGCCCTGTGCCTCCTCTGGCTACTCCAGCTCCACGCCGCCATGCCCTGTGGAACCCATGGACTTCGCAGCTTCCCCTCTTCAAACCTGCCTGTTTGGCTGACACCCTAGTTTCCCCTCTCCACCGCTTTATTTATCTTGCACCCTAGATTTTGCCCACACAAATATCTCTTTCACCTCCTGACCGACTTCTCTATTTTTTAAAGCAAGGAGCTTTCACCTAACCAGTGATTGAGGCACTCAAGTGAATGCAGGGCCGGGTGAGGTTCGTGTGGCAGGATGGCACCTTGTCACATGCACCCTGGCTGTGTGGCCTGAGAGAAGCGACGTCTGCCCCTGAGCCTCACTTTCCTTCTCTCTGCAATAGGCTTGATTAAAGGGCTAAGCATAGAATCCCACAGCGTGGGTGCCTGGTAACTGACCGTGGAGCCAGTGAAGAAATGCTGATACCGGTCTGTGCCCCAGCCCTCCAGACAGCCCCACGCCCGTCTGCCTGCCTCTCACCTGTATGCACGAAGTACCCGCAGCTGCCCGCTGGCCTCCCGGCTGCCTTTGACCATCCGCAGGAGTTTGATGCCCGTGTGGGACACAGCTAGGATCTGCACGCCAGTGCCCACGCTGCCCTGGGCCAAGGACAAAGGACACGGGAGGGTTTTCCTGCCTCATCCCTGAAGGCCTGAGGTGGGCAGAGGCTAGGTAGGGGGTTCTCACCGTGGCGGGGAAGAGGCGGGAAAAGTAGATCTCCCAGCTGTCACGTGCAGTGCTGACCACAGCCCGCTTCACACTCTCTGTCACCAGGGGCCGCTGTGGGTCCATCTGGTTCTGGGCTAAGAGATGCCCAGGGTCAGGTCAGGACCTTCGTCCCTCTCCCTGCTAACCCACACTGCAGGCAGGGGGCTGGACCCTGGGGCCGCTGTGCTAGCAGGGTCCATCCCAGGTAGCTGCTATCCAGAGATGGGATGGCCGGGGCCACAACCTGCGGCCTGACAGAGGCCAGAAGCACAGTAAGGCTGGGCGGTGTCTGGGAGGTAAATGGGGCTGGGCACATCAGCCCCTCCGGTGCCCTCTAGGAAAGGGCTGGATGAGGCCCTAGGTAGCTGCCCCATCACAGTGGGTGTCCCAGGGTGCCCGGTCACCCTCCCCTTGCAGTACCAAACAGAGCCTTCATCGTAAGCCTCTCCTCCTCAGAGATGCGCAGGCAGGCCTCGGACAGCGTGTCATGCAGGATCTGTGGGAACGAGCCGTGCTGGGGTGGCAGCGCCTAGAGTACCCCAACCGGGAATCCAGGCTAGACTGCTCTAGGGTAAGTGGGAATGTGGGGGGATCCCACCGATGCAGTAGAGGGGCCGTCTGTGTGAATCAGACACCCCTTAGAAAATCGTCTCCTTTCGCTACACCCCAGCAATCTGTGCTGCCCTTCCCATGCCCCGGTTTCCTCGTCTCATGGGGCTTGGGTCTGACCTCGGGATTCTGTCCAGCTCAGACAAACTGAGTCAGGTTAGCTCAAACTGTGGGCTTGCTGACCCTGTCCATGGGAGTCGGGGATTCAGGAGACTTGCTTCCCATCCTCACTGTGGTCAAGGACCCCACATCTAAGCATGCAGGGGCAGAATCTGCAGACCACTAGTCTATGTGCCTGTTGCTCTGCTGAGTACACTGAGGTAAAGGGGAAGAGAGGACCTCACCTGCCGGAACAGGAGGTCCAGCTGCACGGGGTGGCTGTAGCTATCTTTGGGGTAAAACACCTGTGGGGTTGGGGCTTTTGTGAGCACCTCCAGACAGCCCCCTCACCTTGCTTCACACCCAGTCTTGCGAGATACAGTTCCACTCACCGTCATTCCCTGACTTTGAAACCCAGTTCAGCAGCTTCCCCCCCCCCCCCCCCCCCCCCCCCCCCCCCCCCCCCCCCCCCCCCCCCCCCCCCCCCACACACACACACACTGAGCTCTCCTGACCTCTCCACCCACCTCCGGAGTCCCTCTGCTCCCTTTGAGCCCCTCCCCTGGCTCCAGGCACCTCTTTGCGCAGGAAGATCCGCCAGGGGGCGTCCTGGTAGCCGTAGAAGTTGGGGTTGAGACGGTGCAGCTGTGTCTGCACGGGTTCCTCTGCAGGCTCCAGTGACCTCGAAGGCAGCTCTGGGGAGCACAGATGGTAGGGGGAGGTCGCAGGGGAGAGATAGGGCTGGTGAGGGAGGGAACTAGGGGGTGTCCTTTTGCAGGGAGGGGGCTGGGCACAGAGGTATCCCACACTCTGGGTGTAGACACCTGCCCTTGCAGGCGCACACACACACTCACTCACACGGTCCTTCCTTTCACTCGAAACACATCCAGAGCACCTAGCAGCTGCAGGCCATCCTGGGGCCGGGGCTGCCGCTGCGGACAGGCCAGGTCAGCCAATCCCCTGGAGTTTAAAGGCAGCTTAGAAATGGCAGAGCTTAGTGCTAGATGCGGGGCTGGACATAAAATCATGTGATGTAGAAAGTCTGGGGGTTAGTCTAGGAGGCCTCTCTGAGGAGCTGGCATTTGAGCTGAGTCCTAACAGGAAGGGATCAGGCATGCAAGGATCCTCTTAGGAAGAGCACTCTAGGCCAAGGAAATGAGAAGTATAAGGGGCTTGAGGCAGGAGGGCCTCCGTGTGACCCAGGAACAGTGAGGAAGAATATGTCAGGGGAGAAGAATGAGAGATGAGGGAGCAGGTCAGTCAAGGCCTCACAGGCCACAGTGGGGAGTCTGGAGCCTGTTGGAGGAGCCACTGCCGTTTTTATCAGGGACGTGCTATAAACCAGTTTACATATAGCAAGATCACTGTGGTTGCTGTGAGGCTGCGGGGACCGAGGTTATGGCTCCACCTATGATGCCAGGAGGCTGGGTGTAGCTTCCTGACCTGACACTTGCAAATTGTGTGACCCACGCAAGTCACTTAACGTCTCTGTATCTGTTTCCCGTTGGATCATGAAAGTACAGATGGTGCCGCCTTGAAGGGCTTCAGTGGGGATTTAGTGATGACAGGCCAGGGCTGGCCTGAAATCAGTGTTAGGTAAATGCTGATAAAAGTACCCATGTCTACACAGTGTGTCCACCAGCGCTCAGAGACACATATCTATGGGGCCCGGGTGCAGACTAAAACCCCCTGGACAGCTGTCCTTCTGCCCCTCCCTCCCTCCTGTTCCCGCACCTGGAGTGGGCCCCATCGACGGCTTCGATGCACTGGTCACTGGCTTCACCAGGGCCACAGTCTCTCGGGGCGCCTGTTCACACCCAAAAGAGGACGCTCAGGGGGTAGAAGTGGGTCCCTGGGAGGGGCAGGCTGTTTCTGAGGCTCCCAGACGTCCCCTCTGTCTTCCGTCCTGCCTGGGCCAGCCTGACTCTGCCGCTCACCTGCATGCCAGGTGCTGCTGCCAGATGGCTCATCTGCCCCTTCAGGATCATCAGGGCCTCCTCGTGGGGGTCTGGCCGCTTCACGAACACCCTCCCGCCATCCTTCCTGGTGGGTTAGATACTTAATCTCTTCTTCACAAGTCCCTACAATAGTGACCTTCTTCCTCCCACCTCCCCCCGTCTTTATACATGAGAACCCCGCATGACTCCAAGACTGGCCTGAGCTCACAGGTAGAGAGCAGCAGTCTGGGCCCCCATCTGCCTGAGGGGCTCATCCCGACTGTGGGAGGGAGGCGGGAGGCCTGCTGGGGGCAGAGCTGACCTGAAGGCCTCCGGCCGGCCTCCCCGGGGTGGCTGCTGACACTGCCTCACAATGTTCTTGATCTGCTGTGTGGGCTGTGGGAAGTGCTCGGAGTTGAGCGTGGAGTAACGGACCAGCTCTGGGGAGGGTGCAGCTGTGGGCAACGGGGGGACAGGGTCAGGCCACGGTGGCCACGAACACACTCCTAGTCCCATTCGGGGAAGTCCCTTAGGCTTGGATAGGACACTCACTGATCTCTGGAGAAGTCCTGTTCTGAGTGAGAATGGGGGCAGCCACGGGCTTGATGAGGGGCTTTGGGGCCTTGGCCAGAGGGGCTGGGGTCAGGGGCTTTGGGGTCGAGCGCAGGAGTACAGGTTTGGCTGGGGGTCCAGTGCCTACAAACTTCGGTCGTGCTTCTGGCGCCAGAGGCTTCTGTGGAGAGCAGGGTATAAGTGGGGCGTCCTGGCACATACCAGCCTGCTCCCAGGAACGACATCTGGTCAGACGGGCCATGAGGCTCCGGGTTCAGAGAGGTACCACAATGTCCTGGAGCAGCAGAGGGCTCACATGGGTGGGCCAAGCTCACCTCTGGGGACGAGGGTATTGGGGTGGGGCTCAGAGGCTGCTGCTGGAGTGCCATGGCCTGCAGGGTCATCTCCCGGGCCTGGGGAGAGGTGGCAGTGGTGACCAGGCTGGCCCAAGCTAAGACCCCTCCCCACAGGCCCTCTCGCACTCACCAGCAGCACAGCCTGTTTGTGGATGAAGGCTTGCTGCAGAGCCAACGTGGAAGCATCCAGGCCTGGGACTGGAGGAAGGATTGGGGTCCAGAGGAGTGGGAGATGGGGAAATCCCTCCTCCTCTGCCGGGAGGTGGGGGCAGAGGGGTATGCCGACCCACCCAAACCTCGACCCCCACCTTCCCTCTCCCTGCAGCCAGGGAAGGCACTGACTTGGTTTTGGCTTTGGCTCTGGGGGCCTCTTGGGGATATCTTCAGTGCTGCCTCTGCCACCTCCACCAGGTTGGCCTCCCCCTTTCATGCGGTAGGCAATGGCTGTTGGCTTCTCCAGGTCCTGGGGCAGCAGGTGGCTCAAGTGACTGCCTCAATGCCGTACTCCCCAAGTTCCAAGGTAACGGGTACCTGACACCTGCCTCCTCCTCCCCCTTCACCTCGGTAAATGCCTGCTGTGTGCTCAGCCTCTGCCCACACAACATCTCCACCAGCTCTCAGGGTTGTGGTTGAGAGTTCCCACCATCTCCCCACCCACAGAGACATAAAGAAGGGCTATGTCCTGCATGAGGCTACTCATGATGCCATCGAGGGATGCCTGGGAACTCCCACGATATATGCAGGGTATCTGAAGGGGTCTTTTAAAGTCTGGGGCAGTGTCTCCCACCCCCACCCCAGCTAGAGGATCTTGGTGGCCACAGGGGTGGGTCCCATTCCTACCGCATCCCCATAGGACAGCACGGGGTCAAAGAGGCTGTCCAGGTAGCAGTCCAGTCCTTTCTGGGGCACAGCAGGCTCTCCAAGGCCTTCGGAGGCTGGTGGGGGATTGTGGGGAACATAAGAGTGAATTTCTTTTCTCCTAGTGATCTCCATCCCACATGGCCCCCAAGCTCCCTCCCCACCAGAGACAGCAGCCACTGCTGTTTGACCTTGGTGGATAGCTGTCCCTCTCTGGGCCTCAGTGTCCCCATTTGTACCATCTTCATTGTGGCTGCAATACCCATCGGAGTCAGGCACTTTGGGGGCATGCCCCTGGGTCTGGGTCCTCGTGGGCGTGTCCTCATCTGAGTCCCAGCTGTTCCAAAACACCCTGTGGGGAAAGGGAACATGCAGAAACTGACCCCCAGAAAGACCCACCACTCCCCTAGAAACACTCCCCCCCCCCATTCACCTTTGTGCTCTGGAACTGGGCAAACCCCTTTGAAAGGAAGGGCCCTTTGGTGAGCTCTACCTCCTTGAGAACTTGAAGATTAAGTTCAGAACTCAGCTGGGAGGGGGAGAACTTCTGGCTGGGAGAGGTGGTTGCTATGAGGGGCCCAGGTAGCCACCTACGCTTTGGGGCCTCCCCTGCCGGCCATGGGCCCTTCTGAACCCACAATGAAGTAGGACTTCTGTCGCGGGAAGTCTCTGAGCAGCTCTAGGTCTGACACCAGGTCCAGCACGTAGTCATGGCCTGCCAGCTCTGCCCACTGCATCCCGTTCTTCATGGCCACTGTCCAGCCACGCCAGCCATCTATCAGCCCCCTGGTGACAGCATGCACAGGGGGGAAATGAGGGAGCCAACAGGTGACACCTAAGAAGCCCTGGGATGTGAGTCAGTCCCCTAGCATGGCCACAGGGGGCCCTACAGGACCTTTAGGGAGACCTGGCCACCCGCCCCTCCCTGTTAACCAGGTGCATGATGGTACGGTGGAAGGGGCATTCCAGGAGCCCACCTGTGCCTCAAAATGTCTCCAGCCACCTCTTCGCCTGTACTCCAGGAGTGCACCGGGCAGGAGAACTGGTCACCTGGGTGGCAGCAGATGCTGGCTGAGCCCACGTGTGTTCATGGTTCAGCCTTGCTGCTTCATGCTTTTTGGCTTCCCCAGTCTCATCCTGCATCCTCCACTGGCTGGATCTCCTCCCCCTTCCCAGGCCAAGCCCCATTATCACATTCTGGTCTCTTTCCCGGGCATACCCAGTGGGGTCCTCCCCAGCACCAGAACTGCCCTGGCTTCTCCTGACCCTGTGCATACGATGGCCTGTGGGCTCCAGGTGCCGGTGCCCGCGGGAGGGAGGGAAGACTGGGAAAGGAGAAGGCAGCTTACCTGTGAAGCAGCCTATATCCAGGGCCATGCCGGCCTTCTCCTGGGTTGCTATCCACTCGAGTTGTGTTGGGGGGAAGGTGCGGGCAGCCCCAGAGCCCTGCACCTGGGCTCGGCCCATGGCCTGCATGAGGCGGTGTTGACACACAGCCTGGAAACCGTTCTGCCCATAATCAGACACAAACCTGATGGGTGGGAATTGAGCTTGGGTGAGGAGGGTGCTGAGGCTAGACCAGGGTTGGGGGTTCTAAGGCCAGACTGAGGGTAGCTGCCGTTAGCTAGCCCAGGTCTCTAAGGCGAGGCTGAAAGGTCCTGGATGAGCTCAGATGCTTGCCGACGACTATACTCACATAGCACTTACTGCACGCCTGTCTCTGTTCTAAGCTCTTAACTTTCACACCGGCCTACGAGTAGCTATTCTTATTATCCCCATTTTATAGGTGAGGAAACAGATTCAGAGAGGTGAAGTAACTCGTCCGAGGTCATCCTGTGGCCGAGCTGGGGTTTAATCCAACTAAGCTCCTAATCACCTCACTCTACCCCTATCCCATAAGCGGTCAAAGCCTCTTTCCCACATTCACTACATCCTGGGCTTGCCACCCCGAGTTCCCGAGGCCCGTCATGTGGCCTCTCTGACTCTCCTCTGCACTGAAGGCCTGCCCTGCTTCCTGACTCTGCGCCCAGCAGAGCTGGAGAACAGTCCCTGGACGGCCCCCACACAGAGCCTCCGAGCACAGCCACCCCTTTCTGCCCAGTGTGTCCCTGCGTCAGAGTCCACACACCACACCCCGCTGGTCCCACTCACTTGAGCAGATACTTGTTGAGGCGAGAGGAAGGTGCAAAGCCACCGAGGCAGGCAGCCAGCAAAAGCCAGCCCCTCTCGGCATTGTGGGCACTGGGGTTGCGCCACACCTGGTTGGCCAGCTGTGCCAGGATCTCATCCCGCAGTTCGGGCACCGCCAGGCCCTTCTGCACGATGTAGTTCCCGAAGACGTTCTCCTGGGCACCGCGCAGCTGGGGGTCGCCCATGAACCGCAGGATCTGGGCCACAAACAGACTCTCCTGGGCCTCCCCGAAAGTTGTTCTTGCTGGGTGCGTGCCCCAACACACACCCCCGCCCATACGAAGGTCGCATTACAATATACTTGCCATAACCTGCCCTAAGTGACCCTCCAGTTCACCCCAACTATGGGGAAAAGTCAAGATCCAAAGAGCTGCAGTGCCCGTGCGTGTCTACACCTCACTCAGGCCTAATGCTCCTCACAGCCCTGGTCTCCAGCTGCCCCTCACCTCTGGAGCCATCCAGGCCCCAAATGGCTCTTTTTAACATTCCTACCTGACCACATCCCTCCCATGGAAGCACCTTCTCTGGCTCCCTAGGGCCCTTGGGATGAAATCAAGCCTGGGTCTGTCAGTCAAGTCTTGGGGCCGTCTTGCTTTTTCCCTTCTCTGTTTTGACCACAGCAACTTCCTCGCCTCTCTGTGCCTTCCCCGCTCTCCCTGCCCGACAGATTCTTCCTCCTTCCACTCTAGCTCAAACGCCCCCTTCCCCAGGAAGCCGTTCTGTCCTTGATCAGAGCTGGATTAGAGACCCTGTCTGGCCTTCCAGCCTCTGTGCCTTCCTCTGTCTGTGCTGGTAATCACTGGTCAGGTCTGCTCTGCCTTCCTCCTCAGACTGGGATATCCTCAAGGGGAGGACCAGATCTACCTTGGGGTTCTTGGGAAGCTCCAGAGAGCTCCTGAGCAGCCTTTCCTCCAAGATGACAGCTAAAGAAAGGCGTCCAAACCCAGCCCCGGAACAGAGACGAGGCCATACTTCCCTCATAGTTGCTCACTGACAGGAGCAGCTCTTCCGCAGAGGAGGCCTGGACTTATAGTTTGGGCTAGTGGGGTGTCCAGGCGGGCAGGGTGAAGGGCCACAAGCTCTGGCCTCGGGGGCAGTGACCATCAGTCCTAAGGTGAACCATACCAGCTTGAAGATGCTCAATGCTTCCAAGTGGCACTCCACTGGCAGCCGTGTGAGGGGTGACCTCAGGGGCACTGTCAGCATCCCAAAGGCAGGTTCCTAGGGGCACAGGGCAGCCACATGTGGTCAGGGCCTGGGCTGACAGGCCTCTGGGTCCATGCTCTGCCTGTGAAACGAGGGCTTCTGTCCCATATGTATGGGGAGGGAAGCAGGCTGAGAGTGGCCTGACCCCGGCCCTCAAGCAGCAAGTAGCAGAGATGGCCTGAGCCCGGCCTGGGTGGGAAATGAGAGCAGCAGTGATGCACTGAAGCTCCACTGGCTGGTACATTTCTGAAATGTTTCCAGACGGGTTGGCAAAAAGTCACTTCCTGAGCCAAAGGTGCTCCATGGCTTGGGCCCCCAAAAGACTCTCCTGTTATTGCAGTCCCTTGGGGCCCCCAGACTGCCCATATTTCAGCAATGCATTCCCATTGAGCATGGCCAGGAGCCTGTCCAGGCCTAAGAACAGTGTCAGTTCTAACTGGTCAGTGCCTACGGGCCAGGACACTTAGATGTATGTCAGCCTTTACCTGGAAGTGGCACCGAATAAACTTGGCCATGGGGTAGTTGTTGATGTCTAAGGGAAGTGTGACACGGGACTCAGCCTGCAGCCGGGGCGTCCGCACAGGGGCCACTTGGGACCCACAGGTCGGTCTGTGGCCTGTGGAGAGAGGTGGGCATACAATGTCCGGTTCCCTTGCCCCCCAGTGCCGTGCCTACAGAACTATCCAGTGCCGACCTACCTGCCACTGCTTGTAAGAGCCCAGCCAGCTCAGCAGGCACCTCAAGGTGTCCCACAGCTACCACCTCCCGCTTGCTCAGCTCCTGCAAGGGTAAGGCCTGGTGAGGGGGCAGGCCTGTGACAACCCCCACCTGTCAGCCTCCCTGCCTGTCCCCTTCCTGCCACCCAGGCCCACACCCACCTCCTGCTCCCGTAGCCGTGCCTCCTCCACCCGGAGCCTCCGCTCTGCCCTCAGCTGCAGGGGAGCAATGGTGACGGAGGAGAATGCGGGCAGAGGTGACAACAGGCCAGAGAAGCAAGGGGGTCAACTTGCCTGTTTTCTGGAGGCCATTACCTCATCTCAGAGATGGGGAAGGACAGGCAGGGGCATGGCTGACAAGGCAGGGAGGGGAAGGGAGAAGAGCAAGGAGAAGAGGCAAAAGGTGGAAGAAGTCATACTTTGGAGAAAGAGAGATGCACAGCAGGATTTCTGGGAAGAAACTGAGAGGCAGGATAGGACTTCCCCACCCCCCACCCTCCGAGTTGGTCCAAAAAGCCAGAGAGTCATTCAACGCTTTGTAGACTATAGCTGTCTCTCTGGAGGTTGTTTATACAACAATGGGCAATGACTGGCATCAAGGTAAGAGAAAAACCATGTTCAGTGTTGTTCAGATGGCCACATTAGAATTGTGCCTAATTACTGAAGGCCCCGTTGTGAACCCTGCACCACACCCAACCTTTCACTCACTACACCTCATCTGGCCTTCTCCATGACCTAAGGGGCCACTGGGGACAGCGAGGTTAGAGAGGAACCAAGATCACGCAGCTAGTGAGAGGCAGAACAGGGATTCAAATCTAAACCTTCTGGGCTCTCCTTGGGGGCGCAGCACTATGAAAGCTACTCAAAGCCACTGCAACATGAGTTCGATCCCTGCCAGGGAGTGACCCACATGGCACAGCAGACCTCTCCTGTCCCACCCACTGCTCCCCTCCTAGTGTATTTCAGTAGATCTGCCTGTTCTGCTCCCCACTCTGTCTCTGGTGACCCTTCTCACTCCCTCACCTCTGGCCTGTACCCCAGTTCTTATATGCATAAATAAATAAATCTTAAAAAAAAAAAACAACAAATCTAAACCCTCTGAGGCCATCAGTCTCCTCTGGGTGCTATGTGCCTCCTTCCCCCTCCCCTGCCCCCCACACTGCTCCTTGGACCCAACAAGCCAGGGCCTGACTTACAGAGAGGGTGAGGGGCAGGTCTGTACCTTGAGGTAACGCCGGTGGTTCATGTATGTGTGCACCAGGGACTGGAACTTCATCAAGCTTCTCCTCATCTGTTGATACCGCTGCCTTGGGTGGGAGGAAAGGAATGTCTTGAGGACGATCAGGGGTTGGGGGTCACGGGGTGACCAAGAAGCAGAGATGCTCACAGCAGCCTCAAGTGGGTGCCCATACTTTGCTCCATTGTCCTTTGACACAAAGCAAACTCAGAGAGGGGCAGTGACGTAGCTAAGGTCACACAGCAAATTAACTGACAGGGCCTGCACTTGGACCATATATTTCCCATTAGGGTGGAGTCCAGGATCCCAAAGATGGAAGGTAGGACCCTTCTTGGCAAGATGGAGTCACACCGACCAGTTCCAAAGGCCAGGGAGCAAGTGGGAAGGACATCCCAAAGTAGAGACACAGAGACTCCATGGTCCTTCCTGCAGAGGCCTCAACTCTGAGCCTGAACGCCTCCAGGAACAGCAAGCTCACAATCCAAGCTCAGGAATGGCCTCTCACAACTAGCCAGTGTCCCAGGGAGCCCGGCCTTCTCTGCACCACACCTGGCCAGGTAGCCACGGGCCCGGCTTTGTAGCAGGATGATCTTGCGGCGCAGAGAACGGAAACGCCGCTTGATGAAGAAGCCCCGGAGGCAGCGCTGCAGAGTGAGGGCGGCCAGGTTCAGGACGTGCTCCCGCATACTCTCCAGCAGCTGGTGTAGGTGTTCCTTAAGGAACAGCTGGGACAGCAGGCAGACATGGAGGCAGATAAACGCAGGGTTTTGTGGTTTCACAGGCACTAATTCTGGAGTTCCTGAACTTGGAGCCTCCAGGAACTGAGCATGGGGAGAGACTCACCTTGCTGATGCCGACACGGTACATACTTGGCATGACCGTGCACAGGCGGCCCAGCACCGATACACACATGTCCCCACTGGCTGGCAGGTTGTGCTTGAGGGCCACCAGACAGCGGTATCTGTGGGGTTCCACACTCAGTTTGGGCTATGGAATCTGCCCCAGCTGCCCAGCAGATCATGAGCCCAGCCCCTTGTCTCTAGGAGGCCCAGGTCCCAGCAGTGGTTTTGCTTATGGTATCTTCTAACCGGAAAAAGGCACTCCACCCTCTTGATTCTTCTGAGAGTCAGAACTATGTTTACAGCAGCACTATTTACAATAACCAAGATATGGAAAGAACCCAAAGTGCCCCCAAATAGGCGAATGGATCAAAAACCCATGGTATTGCTACACGATGGAATATTACTCAACAATCAAAAAGATATTCATGACATTTGCGGCAACATGGACCGAACTGGAAGGGATTATGCTAGCTGAAATAAGTCAGAAGGAAGAAGATAAATATCAGATGGTCTCACTTATATGCACTTATATGGTCTCTTGATATAGAGAAATCAAATAAAAGGTCAAGAAAAGGACAAAACTAGCAAGTTGACCATAGATCTGACATATACAGCAGGAGGGAGAGGGGAGGAGGTCAAAACAGGAGCGGGAAGAGCACAGGAGAATGTGATGATGGTTTGTGGGTGATATCAGCATTGTATGGGGGGGAACTCTTGGGACTACCAATTACTGTACAAAAATGAACAATGATGTATGAAAATGGAAAAAAAAAACAGATAATTTCAGTAGAATAAGTCACTCTACTGCCATCTGTTGGAAACTTGTCATGGTAATTATAAAATTCTCTGGGAGCAACACCTCCTATATAACAAAACTATAAACTATTTCAATAAACACATCTGCCACATGATAACTGGCATGTGGTGGTCTTGCATAGCGCACAGTCTGAGCAACAGTGAAGAGCAAGCCCTGTTCTGCCTGGATTGTATATTCCGAGGCCACGGGAGGCCAAGTATGGAGTCCAACAGCCATTCTGAGGTACCTGTCGATGAACACCTGGAAGGGCAGTCGCACCGGAAACCCCTCCTTACGGATCCGCACAGTCTCCAGCACCCCCGAGTAGCGTAGCTGTGCCATTACCACGTCTGGCTCAAAGAGACCTGGTTCCTGTGGGGGGCCCAGGCAGGGAGTCTAGACATTGGCCCTGGCCCTCCCACATGCAACAGGCACTGTCATGGAGCAAAGTCCCCACCGTGGGCTGACAGATGGCGGTCCAGAGAGGGAAGCCACCGTCCAAGCTCACAGCACGGGGCCATCTGGCTCTCCCAGGAAGCTTAGCCATCACATACCTTCTTGTGGTTGGGCTTCAGGCAACGCACAAACAAGGGGTTACACCTGGCGTCAGGAGGGGAGCAGTGTGAGGCCCCAGAGAAGGGGAACGCTCAACGGCGGAGGGCCATGGGTGAGTCAGAGGGGAGTCTGGGCACCCACCTCTCCATCTTTTCCACCAGATCCAAGAGCGACTGCTGGAACTTGGCAGCCACAGTGTGCGCCTTGTAGAGCCGGGTGATGGAGCTGCTCTTGCCCAGGCGCTGAGGGGCAGCCTGTGGGGCGTGGCTGGAAAAGAGGTGCGCTACCACCTGGGCAGGGGCGGGGCCGGGAACAGGACAGGGAGGGAGAGACAGGAGGAGGGAAAGGGAGTAAAGAAGGCACTAAGTCCCTGGACAGACTAGGGATCAGGGAAGGAAGCCCCTGGGGCCCCGTGCTCGCTGCGGTCAGGCCTCCTGGCCTGCAGATCTCCCAAGTCAGTGTCCTCCAGTGGGCTGTACCATGGTTACCCTGGCTTTTCCCTTCAGTCTGGGGAACACCTAGGTACTGACTATACGTCAGTCTTGGTGATGAACTGCAGTGGCCTCAGGATGGGGGCCCTTAGACAGAGGAGGAAGAGGAGGCCTGGAGAGGGGGTGGGAGGCGGGGCCCAGGCCTGCGCTCTGTTATGGATCATTTGCTGGCCAATAGCAGGGCGGAGATATGGGGTCTCTCAAGCTTTCAAGGAACCTGAGTCTGGTCCCCCAAAACTTCCCTAGGACTTCATGGCAGTGCCGGAGAGGGGTCTGAGCGAACAGAACTCAGTTGGTGGTTGGGGGGTCCGGGGAGTAGGACTGAGAGGTGTGGCTGGGGAAGCGCAGGGTTAGCCAGAAGTATGGCCCATCAGGGGTACGGCCAGGTTTGAGAGAAGGTATAAAGCAAAGGGGTTGGCTGAGGGCAGGGGCACGGTTGAGGTTCGGAGCAGCATCAGGGCCTGACTGGCAGGTCAGCGGCAGGACCCGGCCTGGGGTGCGCCTCCATTTCCTGGGCTGGGAGAGGGGCCTGCCAGGGGCTGGACGCTCGGGGGTAAGAACAGAGCAGTGGCGGCTTATTCACCGGTGTTCGGCTTCGCACGAAGAGGTCTAGCACATCCTGCCGCACCTGGTCATGGTTCTTGTCCAAGAACTTGTGCACCTGCAGAGGGGGGCACTGGGGGAGCTCAGGCTGGGGTTCACCCTGCCCACACAGTCTGAGGGACAGGGTAGAAGGTAACCCACCGCAGTCTACATCAGCCTGCCTCTGCCCTCCGCCTCCCTTCCCTTGGGTGGGTCAGGGGCTCATGGCTCCTGGGTGACGCTGGCACTGCCCCTCCAGGCCTCCGTCTTCTTGTCTGTCCTGGAGAAGCCAGGCCTGCCCCTGCTAGGCTCCCCTCTCCCCACTTCTGGTGGAAGGGAAACATTAGCCACAGCTTCATGTGACTAGCCCAGCTCCTGGTCCCGGCCTCGGTGGAGGACGCTGCCCTGCGCCCATTCTTCAGATGAGGAAAATGAGGCTCAGATGGGGACCAAGGCTTAGACACTTCCAGGGCAAGAATATGCCTCAGGTAGCAGTGATGAGAGTAACCAGTGATGTCACTACTTTCTATCAAACCCAGTTTCACACCAGATTTTTCACACAACCTCCCCCCCACACACACACACAAGATAGGCGCTATTATTCTCCCCATTTTTCAGACAAGGAAACTGAAGCTCAGAAGTGCTGCAGGTCACGTAGCTGAGATCAGCAGGACCGGCACTGGAGCAGGTGCCGTGTCTGGAGACGGCGCTGCGCTTCTACGTCTCCAAAAGCAGAGAGCTGCGTGCGTCGTGGGTCTCACCTGGTAGGTGACTTTGCCTGCATAGTGCTTGATGGTGAACTCGGGCAGTGGCATCTTGGGTTTGGAGTAGAGCGGGTTGGCGCCATGGTGGTAATGGCACTTCTGCAGAAATGTGTGGTCTGTGGCCTGGGGGCAGGCAAAGATCAGTGGGGGAGCAGTGGCCCACAGGTCCACTGGCAAATTCCCAGCCCTGGCTGATCCCAGTGAGCGACGGAGGAACGAGTCAGAATATCAGAACTGCCCTGGCTGCCCAGGGCTTAGACCTCAGTAGACCCTGCAGACTGGTGCATGTGCTTAGCTCCCGCTAGTGGCCCAGTGGTGTCGGTCCAGTGCCCTTTATGGTCTTTACTCCCACCACTTGGAGAACCCCCACCCTGCTTTTCTGATCAGAATTTGAGACTCAGATCTAAGACCATCTCCTCTAGGAAGGCCTCTGTGCTTCCCACACGGGTGCTTCTCTGGATTCTAGCAGCTCCTCACCAGCCTGAGCCACCACCCAGGTGTGAGGAGCAGGTTGGGGGGTCCTGAAACCCAGTCCGCAAGCCAGAGCAGAGAGGAGGCAGCACTCAGGTCTGACAGTTCATGAAGCACAGAGATGCTGACCACTAACCAGGCCCACACGCGCCCGACGCACCTGGGGAAAGCAACACTGGTCGTCGAGGATGCGCAGGATGCCATAGGGCTTCAGCGAGATGAGGTTGATGCAAGGCTGGTTGTCAGCAAAGGTGATCTCACGCCAGTCTATCTGTTCTCGAATGTACTCCTCCTGCAGGCAGGGGCTCGGCCTCCTAGCCTTTCCCATGCCCACCCACCCTGCCTCCCAGCTGAACCCATAGAGGGGGCCAGCCCAGGCCACCTCTGCCGACACATCTGCGGGCACAGGGAGCTTGCTCCCTAGCAGGTAATGTGAGCAACCCCTGGGCCCTGTTCCTCACTCCACCTGGGCCAGCCCTGCAGAGGGTGAGGAGGTCCTTCCTGAAAGGGCCGCCTCCGGGCTCAGCACCCAGCACCTTTTCCAGTCTCAGGTGTGAAGTATGCCGGTTGGAATCCCTTTTGGGAACTGGTTCCTTTTGGGAACCTTAGATTTGCCCTTGAAGAGCCAATCTACACGTGTCTGTCCCCAAGGAGGCCCACCGGCCAGTTAGGATGGGGGTGGGGTGCTGACCCACACTGCACACCTGCTCTTCCTGGAAGACGATCTTGTTGAAAAGGTACTGAAGGTTCTCATTTGCATAGTTGATGCACAGTTGCTCGAAGCTATTGAAACTCAGGTCCTGCAGATAGGGTGTAAGAGTGGGACTGGCCCCTCCTTGCCCAGCAGCCCATGCGTCTCTGCCCAGGTTCAGGCCCTGTGCCCTCCCTGCCTTTGATGACCTCAGCATCCTCTGCTCTGGATCCTTTTCAGCTCCCACCAAGCACGGGGAAAGGTCTCCAGGAAGGAGAGGAAGGTCTCCACAAGAGGCAGCAAGTTTAATAAATAGTTAAAGATCCAGGCTCTGGAATCTTGGGTTCCAGAGGACCTTGGGAAACCCCTTTCTGCTTCTGCCTTAGTTTCCCCTTCTGTAATAGGGAGAGTGGCAGTACCTTTCTCATAGATTAGTTTATTAAATTAACAAAGTGTGCTAAGAACAGTCCCCAGCACATAGTTGGCGCCTTCTGGGTATCATTCATCACTTTTCCTATGGCGATCTTGCCACGTTTGCCACCATTTCCCTCAGTGTGCCCCCAGCATGGCAGTCCCCCAACAAATGACTTCTGGTCCCAGCCTTTGGGTGTGTGTGCCCTCCACTTCAGACACCTTCACCAGTTCTTCAGGACAGGTAATGTCCTAATGTCCTTGTTCTTAAGAACCAGTGATGTCCCACCCCTTTGGGAAGCTTTGTCTCACTCCTGCCTGACTAAGGGTCTCTTCTAGGTTCTCCAAGCAACAGGCTGCCTCTGTCATGGCTCTGACCATAAGTGCATGCCAGAGTTTGTCCCCCACTTCCACTCAGCCCCATGTGGATGCTCCTTGAGGGCAGGTCCCAGGTCTGGTCCTTTCCAGGGTCCCTAGAATTCGCTAGCACAGAGCCTGGTACCAGGGGCCTCAGGGAGTGTTTGTGAAAGAAATGGTAGGAAAGGAGAGCGGGAACACCAAGGGAGTAAGGAGCAGATATTATTTCATGTTAGAGGAATAGAGACACGAGGGAGATGCAGCCTTGTCCCCTGGCCCCGCCCACCCACGCAGCCCTACCTCAAAGCCATAGATGTCCAGGATGGCAATGGATAGTGTGTCCTGCCGAGGGGACACCAGTGCGTTGACCCTGGCAATGAGCCAGCTGAACAGGAGTGCATACAAGACCTTGGCGATGGCATCCCTGGAGCAGATGGTGTGGAGGCTGTGGAGCACAATGGGGGCCTGGGACTCTGGGGGCTCAGGCAGGGAGGGGAGTAGCCTCACCTGGCATCCACAGCACTCTCCACAGTCAGGGGTGTGAAGATCTTCTCTCGCATTGTCTCCTGGGAAAGGAGGTAGCATTTGAGTGACAGCAGCCCAGCATGGCTACCAGACCCAGGAAGACCCCAGGGGAAGGGGAGGGGCAGAGCACAGGAAAAGGAGCTGAGAGAGACAGTGTGCTTGGCTTCAGGCACACAGTCAGTGGAGGGTGGGATAGGACACCCTGGCCCCTCCTGCTGCCTGGCTGTGCTGGCAGAGGTTGAAGCTGTGATCTAATAAGGAGACAGAAGCATAAGAAAACAGACACAGTGAGATCTGCGTTGGGAAGGGAGAAGCCCAGGGATTGTGGGAAGCCAGAGGAGGCAATCACCCAGCCAAGACTGAATAATGGCGCCCCGAGGGGAGATACCTATGTTGGTTTCTGAAGAATGAATTGGCATAAGAAAGCACAGAGCACTCCAAGAATAGCCTATGCAAAGACCCAGAGATTGGAAGCCTTAATGCCTTTGGGGTCTGAGGTTACTCCAGTCTGGTCAGGACCTAGGCAAAGAGAGAGAGGAGAAAAGGAAAAGGGAGAGAAGGGGTTTTCACAGGACGGGGCACTCAGCAGGGCTCTTTGGGTGCTGGCTGGAGGCTTTGCTAGAATTCCAGGTGCCCCGGGACTCACCGTCACTTTGAAGGTGATGGCCTTCTGCAGGCCCTCGGGGGAGATCTGTAGCAGCCCCGCCACAGCCTGGATCTCCCTGGCACTCACCACCGAAGCCACCTCTTGTGCACCTGTCTATGCAAAATGCCAGCAGGAGCTAAATTAGCTGAGTTCAAAGTTTTTATAATAACTACAATTGAGCTAGAGTAGCCAGGAAAATTTTGAACTAGGAGAGGTGTGCAAGGGGCTCTATGAGATGGTGAAACATTACAAAGTCATGGCAATTAAAATCGTGGGGCGATAGACACATAGTACAGAATGCATGCAGACACAGTGCACACATAATAGGCAGTAGAAAGCCAGGAATTAGGAAAAAAAGAATATGTATTTCTCAAATTGGGGATAGTATAATTAAGTAGACATCCGAGGAAAAACTTGGATTCCTACCTCATACCTTATTTAAGCTAAATTACATACTTAAACGTTAAATAGGAATAAACAAACACCATTAAAGATCTTTAAAAGGTTAAGGGAGAAGGCTGCAATAATTTTAGAGAAATAGGTCTCTTTAAAAATAATGTCTAAAATGTATACATTAAAATGTTGACACACTGAAATACTTGAAAATCATTTTTTTAAATATGCATGGCAAATAAACAAAAACGCACCAAAATCCTGTAAACAAAGTTAAAATATGAATGGCCGGCCAGAAACTATATTTGGATTCATCTCAGAGACAAAGGCTGGCTTTCTTAACATATATTAAAAGCACTCTCACGGCCCTCCCTGGTGGTGCAGCGGGTTAATGCACTGCACTGAGAAGCTTAAAACCACTTCCGCATGGGTTCAATTCCCGCCTGCCCCGGAGGAGTCCACATGGCACGGCAGACCTCTCCTGACCCGCCCGCTGCTCCCCTCAGCAGTGTACTTCGTCGATCTGCCTGTTCTGTTCTCTGCTCTGTCTCTGGTGAATCCTCTCACCCTCTGGGTCTCTGGCCTGTACCCCAGTTCTGTATGAATAAATAAATCTTTAAAAAAAAAAAAAAAGCGCTCTCACACTCCAATAAGAAAAAGATGAGTGACGTGGGGGAGGGGTGGGGTGGGGTGGGGGAGGGCTAATGATCTGTGTGTCCTGGAAGCCAAAGGGGAACAAAGATGGCTCCTAGACCCCCCGAAAAGACGCCGGAGGGTGCCGGGGCCCCAGGGCAAGAGTGGGCGCTCTCACCTCATACTTCTCGAAGTAAACGTTGCCCAGGTGCAGAATGGAGGCCAGGATGCGGAAGATGCTGTCCTGGTCCTCCCCGCTGAAGCCCAGCACCTCCATGGCGGCCAGCAGCCGGCGGAAGTCATCGCTGTCACTCTTCCCGGAGATCTCACAGTTGCCACCCTGGGCGAGGGCAGGGGCTGGGGGCAGGGACCCTGGTGGTGGCCAGGAGCCCTCTATGTCCCTGCCGCACCAGCAGCGTGGCCTGTCGGCTGCTTCAGCTTTTGTCCCATTCCCGTGGGCTGGGAGCGTGTGAGCAGAGTCTGTGCCGGGCACTTTACATGCATGTCCACCTAACCCTCATCACCACTCTGCGAAGTGGCACCATGTTGTAAAAGAGGAGGAAACTGAGGCACATCAGGGAAGTGTGGTAGGTTAGCCTGCTTGGTTCTGGTCTAGGCGCCAGAGAAACCAAGAGTCAAGCAGCTCTCCTCTTCCCTTGATGTGTACCCCAAAGATAGCCATTTCCTTTGTTACAGTGAGACACCCTGAGTCCACACTTGTTCTCCCAATCACCTTCATTGGCCTCTAGGACATCACAGCTTGGTTCCCGCAGTCCACCCAGGGTGATGGGGGCAGCGTTGGTAGTTGGGTAGCAGGAGCCCCAGGATGCCTGCTGGTGCTCACCTGGTTCAGGTAGTAGTAGGTTTCGGCCTCTTGTAGGCTGAAGGCCTGTCGGAGCTGCGCAGGTAGCCCAGCCAGCAGCTCATAGAAGATGTGGTAGTTCCTCTCATTTTTGGCCTGTAGGGTAGGGGGCAGGGTACACAGGAGGGAGCTGCCCACTAGATGACCCCAAGACATACACACAGGCTTGCTCCAGGCATGCTCATAAACTCAAACTCACAAGAGGGCTAACAGGTGAGACCAGGCCCCAGCACAGGCTAGGGCTGGGAGCAGGGATGGAGAAGTGGAGGGCAGGATTTTTCTTTTAACATTTATTTATTCATGTAGAACTGGGGTACAGGCCAGAGATGCGGGTCATGAGAGGTCTGCCACGCCATGTGGACTCCTCCGGGGCAAGCGGGGATGGAACTCATGCGGAAGTGGCTTTAGCTTCTCACTGCTGTGCTTTAACCCCCTGCGCCACCAGGGAGGACCAGGATTTGGTTTTATTTGCAGAATTAAGTGTGTGTGCCCCAGGTGCATGTGCACTGCCCCCCACGCTTCTATCCAAGTGTGCCCCCACTGGTGCACACACCAGGCTTCCCCATGGTTCACTCAGCGGGGGGCTGAACGGTGTGCAAGGCCTGTTCTAGGCCCTTGGGCCCTTGGGGAACAAGGCAGACGGAAGCCCCTGACCTCATGAAGCCCACCTCTGGCGGGGAAGGCAGGCACCCAGCAAAGCGTAAGGCATGTCAAATGGCAGGAATGGTCTGGAGAGAAATAAAGCAGTGAAGGGCGTGGGGAGTGTTCTGGGGCGGTGTTTCCTGAGCCAGCGAGAGTTCAGGAATGACCTGGAGAAGGGGAGGAGTTTGGCTCGCAGGTGTGTGAAGAAGAGGGCTCCAGGTAATGGCATGGTGGGTGCAAAGCCCCTGCAGCAGGGCAGCACCTGGCGTATTTCAGGGGCAAGGGAGAACCAATGTGACTGTGTGTCGGTGGGGAGGGGGATGAGGTCAAATCTCACTCAGACTCACATACACATTTGTTCAAAATTCACCGTCACCCAGCCCTGCCACCGGCCAGGTTCGTCTCTGCATACCCCATCCAGTCCCCACATGAGGGCCTGGAGGCCTTGACTCACTTGGAACACAATCCTGGATTTCTCGAGCAGGTACTGGGAGGTTATGGCACCAGAGATCATGCCCCTGAAAGGGGAAGGGGGCACTCATCAGCTCACGCCAGAGTGGGAGGGGGTGCCAGTGTTGGCCTTGGGGGGATTCCCCTGGACACGGAATTTACAGCAAGGCCTCTGGGACCCCCTCCACGGTCCCACTCACCCTTCCAGAAAGATCTCCACGAACTTCCCGAAGCGGCTGGAGTTGTCGTTCCTGACGGTTTTGGCGTTACCGAAGGACTCCAGGAGGGGTGTAGCCTCCAGGATCTGGCCCCAGAAGATGTGGGAATTGTTCTGGGGTCTGGGGTGAGGAGCAAGGCTAGGGCCACCCCTAGTTTCCTCTGACATAGACTTCTTCAAGGACCCCCTTTATGAAGGGTGACCAGAAACAGGCTCTATGGCTTCCTACAGTCTCCCTAGTGTCCCCCAATACCTCCACCTCATGCTGCCCAAACCCCTCATATAGCTCCCAGCTACCCCTCTCCCAGCCTCTGGCCAGGAGAAGCCTTTGGATGTCTCTCCCAGCCATTACACATGCACACCCACCCACACCCACCCATGTATGGGGACACATGGACACATATACATGCAAGCACTCAAATACCTTTATCTTCAGGAGCGTCCAGGAGGAAGAAAGAGAAGGGGACAAGAACAGAGCAGGTCACCCGTAGTAAGGCCCATCTCTCCACCCCCCAGCAGACCACGCAGGGATTGGCCAGCCTAAAGCTTCCAGGTGACAGCAAACACATGAGCCTCAGAGACCCAGGGCTCCAGAGGTTGTGTGGCCCCGGGGTGTGGAAGGCGGCTGGTCTGCCTGCCCAAAGGCTCTGGGCATGTCCTCTCCTTCCACCCTATGGCGACCAGCTGCTGGACCGCTCGGGCTCCTGAAGGAGACACCTCCCTGATCCGGCCTTGTTCCCTCCAGCGGGTTTGAGAACTTCGGTAAGCACATGTCCCCCTCCTCCACCCCTCACTGGAGCCCAGAGCCAAGTCCTTGCTATGACCTCAAAGGTTCCTGTGCAGCAAGCCCTGGCTGGTCTCATTCATCTCCTTGGGGTGGGGCACGCCTCCAGGGCCCAGGCCCCACCTGGTGGGGTGGATGGGTGAACACCTGGTGAAGGTGGGGTGGGACCCATGTTTTAGGTTGTACAACATCCAGCCACCTCCATCCTGGGGAACCCTTGACACATTCCCAGCTCAGAAGTGGACTCTGTGACCCACAGGCATGACTGGGTCCAGCAAAGACACAGAACGAAAATCAGTTCAGGGAGAAGGACCCTGCGACTTCTCCCAGCATGTTGGGAGGTGTGGGTTGTGGTAACATGTGGCATCATCCTGCTGACTAAGAGGAGACAGGCTGGAGATGATGCCACACACATGAGCCCGTGGGTGCCCGTGGTCATGTCAGCTGCAGCTGTGCCATATCCACTGTGTTGCCTGCACAGAAACTCTTCCAACCCGTGCACACCTCGAGGTCCTGACCACCTTCCCTGACCCCTGCCAAGGCAGCTCTCTGTTGTGGACTCAGGATCCCATCTCCTCCGCTTCCCCATCTGTCAATGGAGACTTCCCCACAGGTACTTCCCAGGAATCCTCGGGTTCCAAAGAGTCAGCACTCTGCTCTTCAGCAAGTCTCCAGTCTTGCAGACACTGGCCCGTCACTTCAGCGCTCCCACCCAGCATCTACCGCCCAGACCCCAACATCTCCCCATACCTAGGCCTGGCCTGTCTCTTTTACTACCCAGAACAAGCAGGAGGGTGAGATCAGGCGAGAGAAAGGGAGTGACTTCCCTAGCCCACCTGAGCCTCAGAGGGCTGGCACAGGCAGCTTCATGGGAAACAGGCAGGAGGGCCCTCCGCGGCCCCCCCCCCCCACAGGTACGCCTGCTGTTTGAGCCCTCTCATACAACCCTGGGCTCAGCCTCCTCATCCTCTCAGTGGGGCCAAGAGTCTTGCCTCTTAGGGAGCACGAGGGACACCCAGCTTTAGCGTCCTGGGGAGACAGACCATGCAATGGGCAGACTTACCTGTTGCATGATGCCCCGTTTCTGGTTCATGGCGGCCAGGTAGCGCAGAATCAACTTTGTAGACTCAGTTTTTCCAGAGCCGCTTTCTCCACTGACCAGACAAAGGCGCAGAATGACATCAGCTTATTCACTACCTCTTTTGGGCTCCTCTGACCCCATCATAGAGCAAGAGGATGTGGGCAGATTGGTCAGCCCAAAGATGCCATTGATTATATCTGCTCCCACAGCAGATGTGGCCTGAGGCAGACACGCGGCCTGAGGTTCTCCCTATATGCGCCCACGCATACCCACGAAGGTCCCCAGCAGGCTCACTGATTGAAATCTGCTTACCTGATGATTATGCACTGATTCTGTTTGGCATCAAGCATTTTGGCGAAGGCGAGATTTGCAATTGCAAAGAGGTGCCTGGAGAGATGCTAGGCATCACTGAGGCCAGCCTCTGCCACCCAAAGTCTCAGGGGGTGGACAAGGCGCCATATCTGTCCAGGCAAGCAGCCTATCTTGCTCCACCCCAACCCCCTTGGAAGCGTGCTCCATGGCCCCATCCAGGTCTGAGTCACAAGAGCTCTGACCCAGAGAGGGCCCATTGCTGGCTCAGGGAGAGACTGCTCAGCTGAGCAGGTGGGCTGCCTGCCACCATCAGCCCCTAGTGGTAGCTGAGGGGCATCCAGGGGCCTGCCAAGCTCAGACGGGGGCTGAAGAAAGTCCAGGTCAGCGCCCTCCCCCAACCCCAAAGACACTCACGGGGGGTTCTCTCCCAGGGCTTTCCCACTGTACTGCTGCACCTGCTCCAGCCCGTAGATGCCAAACATGCGGTACGGGTTCACCGACACCAGAATGCTGCCGATGTACGTCTGCTGGGCAGACGACAGGTCACAGCCGGCGGCCCCTCGAGGCTCCCCGCGGCCTCCCTCCCTCCCCTGCTCCTGGCATCTGGAGCCATCGCCATAGTGCCTGGTCTCCGAGGTTGCACCCTGGCCCTCTAACAGTTTGGGGGGTCATCTGCTCTATTGTGGAATTTTGGGGCACTGTGCTCGGCTGAGGCTGCAAGAGTCTGGAGTGAGCATGGCTGCGCAGCATGATTCTGCAGAGGTGGCTGTGCTGGCCGCTGTCTCCTTCATTTATTCACACTTAGGTGTCTGCCCGAGAGCCAAACCTCTGATGCCTCAAGGATGAAAGCTGGAGCTCGGGGCTGCTGAGGTGGCCAGAGCCCTTCCGGGTGACCCTGCCTCTTGCCCTGTGGTTCTGGGACTCTGGCCCTCCATTCTATTATTCTGAGGTCAGTGGCTACTTTCCACTGCACTCTGCTGACCCTCCTCCCAGAATCCATAGATTCTAGGACTCGGGTGGCGGGGGCAGTGGGACGCACTTCTGGGTTTCCTCTTTCCGTTCTCTGCCCTGGCACCCACCATTCTCAAACTATGTTTCAGGACTTTGGATTTTAGAGTGCCAGGCTCTCGTATTTTATGCTCAAATGGCAGAAGTCCTAGCGTCCAAACCAGAGGCCATAAATGAGGTCTGGGGCCCAGCATTATACTTCCACTTCAGCCCTCAGGGGCAGGGGGCGGCTGCCTAGACAGCGCCAACACAGGACTTACGTAGATGAGGTTCCGTTCAAATCTAGTCTTGAGGTTGGACAGCACGGTGGTCTCCTGGAGGTCTCTGTGAGGACATGAGAGGGACTGACTGTGAGGTCCCTGGGGTCAGAGCTGGTACAGAGCCACTTTCCCCTCAGTGTGGGTCCTTGGTCAGAAAGGCCTGAGTTCAGTCCTGTCTCTGACACCAACCACCTGTGAGGCCTCAGGCAAGTTACTCAACCTCTCTGTGCCTCAGTTTCTTCATCTGTCCAACAAGTTTGATCATCATCATCTTCACATCACAGGGCGGGGGATGCTCTTTGGTAGCAGACATGAGGGCTGAGTCACCCCGACTGGATAATAATGTTGACGGTCAGTGTTCTCACATTTTGGGCACCTCCAATGTGGCAGCAGCCTCAAAACAGCCACCCTCCTTCCATCTCATGGATGACAAACTGAGGGGCAGCGAGGCAAGTGACTTGCCCAAGGTCCCCAGTTGGGCAGAGGTGGGTCTGAATTTGAACCCAGGCCCGTCCGACTCACAGAGCTTTGACACACACAAATTTGTCTTTTTGACACTTGACCACCTTCACCTTGAAGGTGAAGAAACTGAGAATCTGAAAATGTCCCTGAGGTGAGAGGCACCCCTGGTGGGAAGAGGCGCTCTCTGGGAGCCTGGCAGCCCCCCCACCCCACCGCCTGGCCCACTCACTCCAGCTGTGTCATGTCCTCCACACCATCCTCTCTCCTCTGCTCGCGGGACCGTGCAGACGGCAGGTTTCGGATGGAGTACATCTGTGAGAGAGAGGCTGTGGTCGGCCCACACGAGGTGTCCGCACGTGACCTGCTTGGACGTGACTGGGACCCGCTCCCAGTGTCAGGCAGGGAACCCAAGGCCAGGCCAGCCAGGTCCCGCGGGGCTCCTGGCTGTGGAGTGCCGTGGCAGGAGCCTGCCATCACGCCTTGCTCGCAGGGACACGCGTCTGCCTCTGCCTGTGCCTTCAGCGTGGCAGAGGCCTCCACGTGCATCCAAGTGTTGTCAGTGGGCTGAGGGAGGTGGGGGAAGGGTGAGGTTTGGGGTAGCACATACACCTGCAGTGTTCCCTCTGGCTGCCCAGAATCCTCCCGACCGCATGCTTTCCCAGTGCTGAATCCCTTCCCACAGAGTTTCACAAGTCTCTGCTTATGTGACAACGTGGTAAATAAGCATCTGTATCTTGAATTCATGGGGCCTCTGGGAGTGCTGAGGTGGTCTCATTCAGCACTACACCTTGCATGCAGCCTGGAGCAAATATGTAGGCCCTCCCACTCTCCCCTACCCCCACATACAACAGCAGTTAAGCTCATTTAAGCTCCCCGAGAGCAAGGCGCCTGTATCCATGCACAAGTGTCTGGGGCCTGGCACGTGCAGGCACACTCTCAACTCCATGGGTCACATTCTCTTGCAAGTGGACAGCTGGGGTCTTTAAGAAAAAGTCCCGATGCCCCCTGTGGGCTGCAGGACTCAGCTGCGTGCATCTATGTGTAAACCAGGACCCTACTGATGCAAATGACGCCCAGACCTTGGCCCTGTGTACACACGTATGCATGCACACACTTGCCCAGTTTAGCCTTGGGGACACAGGTCTGCATCTGACCTGCATGGCTGTGAGCACACGTGTGCATCCTGTCTTCCCCTCCTCCATAATCAGTCCACACCCCTCCCTGAGCTGGCAAGGAAAGGGGACACCAGGAGGAAGTCCTGCATTTTGCAAAGCCTGTCCCCGGGCTGCTAAACAGGACACAGTATCACCCTTGAGGCCTGGCCTCCCGCCCGCCCATCTGCCCGTGTGCACCAGTGGCCGCAAACCCTAAATAATTCAGCCACTCACGTATTCCAGGGTGAGGAGGGCCCAGGCATCCTTGCCCCTTACCCCCGGGCGCCCCGCGCCCCGCTCCCGCAATGCTGCAGCCCACACAGCACGTGGTACCCGCCGCCGGGGCCAGGGCCCCCCCAGAAGCCATGCCGCCCCAGTTGCCATTGCTGGGCGAGCTGATTGCCCGCTCCACGGGGCGCTATCTGCAGAGGCTGAGAAATACCAGCCGCCCCTGAATGCCCCGCCCACCCCAGGCGTCCCCGGGGGAGGCTCCGGTGACCAGCCCCTTCTGCTGAGGGCCACCCAGCATAGGGCTCACTTTCCACCATGAGTATAGCAGCCAGGAACAAGCTTGGCACCCCTCAGCTACCTGCCCCACACCCCACACAGGGCCCGGACAGACTCCTGGCTCAGCCTCAGACCCACTAAGTGACTTTCTAAGCCTCAGTTTCCCCACTATGCAATGAGGAGGGAGCGAGTTTGATTCTTGAGCCCCTTGCTAGAATCCTGCAGACTTTAAATAGGAACCACAGAGACAAAGAAGACTTCGATCTGAGGAAAAGTCAGCAGGAAGCAGGAGATACAGTGTGGGCATGGATACGGAGATGGGACAAGGTGGACAGACAAGGCCAGCAATTTCGTATTTTACCAAAAGTCTCTGAAGGGCAGCCAGGAAGGATGTACCCTCCAGACTGGACCAGAGTAGGCTGCCAAGAGCCCAGGCTAGAATAAGATCTCCCCTAAAGTGACCTGAGATGGGCCTCCTTGGTGGTGCAACTGGTTAAAGCACAGCACTATGAAGCTACCTGCAGCCACTGCAGCATGAGTTCGATCCCTGGCCAGAGAGCTGACCTACACGGTGTGGCAGACCTCTCCTGTGTGGCCTGCTGCTCCCCTTAGCAGTGTTTTTTCGGTCCATCTGTCCTGTTCTCTGCCTCTGGTGAATCTTTTCACCACCACTACTCCCCCCCACACACACACATACACATACCTCTGGCCTGTACCCCAATCTTGTATCATAAATAATCATTTAAAAAAGTGTACTTTAAAGTGACTGGAGTAGTTTCTGGCATCTTTGTCCTGTGCCTTGCCCATCTCCTTATTCAATACTCCAGATGCTCTGCGAGGTCATTCTCTCTCAAGGTAAGGATGAGAAGCCTGAGGCCCGAGTGGTCAGTGGCTCACCAGGACCCTGGAGCAATCTCCTACTGTTTCCCAGGACAGAATCCCCAAGGCTTCCCTCCTCCTGTAACCCCATACCTTGTTCCACCAGCTTTTGGGGCCAACCTCTTCCCAAGAGTCCCCACGGGGCAGGCAGGTGTCTCCGGGGCCTAGGCGGCAGGACGAGGGCTGGCTGTGCAGCCAGTGTTGGTGGGCCTTCATCAGTAGCCAGAGGCAGGACCAGAGCACATTCCAGGCTCTTGGTTTGGTGCTGGGCTCTGGGTCCTGGGGCAGCTGGGTAGAGGGCTGCAGGGCAGCAGGACCAGCTCTCTGGAAAGAGCTCAGCTTTTGCACCTGTGGCAGGACCACAGCAAAACGGCCAAGGCCTGCCTGACGCTGCTCACCCCTCTTGGGCAGAGGCCCTGGGGCCCCAGTAGGTGCCAAGGGGGCTGGGGAGCTGGGTAGAGTCCCCCAGCGGCGCCAGGGTGGCCACGTGGCCCTTGTTTTATCACATTCAGCCGGTGGGTGGGAGAGGCTAGGCCTTAGTGCCTTCTGCTCTGGGGAGTGTTTCTTGGGGGAGGCTGGGATTGGGGGATCAGGTTCTGCTGACAGTTGGGGATCCACAGGAGCAGTCTCCTCTTCAGGCTTCTCAGGGATCGGGCAGGCAGATTTGGCCAGCTGTCCAGGACCCAGGTCATGATGTCTACCCAGGAAGACACTGGTAGGGTCAGAGGCGAGGTGCTCAGACTGGGGAGCAGGGGGTGGAACAGGGCCCATGTGCTGGAGAAAGGGGTTTTCAGGCACAGTGGGAGGTCTGGAAAAGCGTCTGCGGCTTCCTGGGGCTGCTGGCCAGGGTGAGGGTGGGTGCTGGGTGGGAGGCATGTCCACATCCCAGTTGGGAGCTAGGGGGGGTACTGTCCAGGGCGTCTCCGAGTCCTCTGGCTCCTGCTGGCTCTCTGAGTGTTCTGGGGCACCTGTGGGCCAGGATCCTGGAGGCCTGTGGAAAGGCTGGCGAACCCTCGGCTTCACTGCCCTTGTGGGTGGCTCGCTGAGGCGGCGCCACGTATGTGGAAGGGGAGAGGGCAGGTTGAGCGAGCGGTGCCTAGCTCTGGGGCCCAGCAGAGGGGGTGGCGATGGCGGCCGTGGGGACCCCAGCACAGGGGAGAGGGGTGGCCCCAGGCGCTGAGAGGCTCTGTGCAGGGGCCGGGTCTCTCGCACGGAGCGGGGTCGGCGGGGTGGGGGTGAGAAAGGAGGCTGGAAGGGGCCGGCCCGCATGGACGGCTGAGGGGACGCAGGACCCATTGGTGAGCGGTAACCCAGGCCCGGCAGGCTCCTCAGGGAGGGCTGGGGTGAGGGCCGGGGCGTCCAGGTGGGCCTGCGAGAGGCCTGTGGGGAGGGCCCGGGGAAGCCAAAGGGAGCCCCTCGCCGCCGGGAGCCTCTGAAGGAGGGCCGGGGTCCAGGGAAGGCCAGCGGGTCAGGGGGCACCTCGCGCCTCAAGGGAGGGGGCTCCATGAAAGCCCACCAACTTGTCTGCGGTGTGAGGGGCACACGGGCAGGAGCGGCCCAGGGTGGCGGACGCCAGCGGAGGGAGCCATAGGGCGAGGCTGAGGGCCGGGGCAGGCCAGAGAGGACAGGGGAGAAGGGTGGGGCCGGCGGGGGGCCGGGGCTGCGGGGCCTGCGGGCTGCAGGAGGGGAGACGAGCTCGCTCCAGTGGGTGGGTGTCCTGGGCACGGGCGCTGGGGTGGGCACGGGAGAGGGCGCAGGCGAGGCCGGGCGGTGGGAGTTGTTGTTGTTGCGAGCCCGCGCCTGGGTCCTCCTCAGCATGATGGGCGTGCTGGGCTTGTCGGGGTCCATGCCGGCCAGTTTGTAGCCAAAGCGCTTGTAGGCTGCCTCCCTGACTGCCGGGCTTCTCAGCCGGGCCTTCTGGCTGCCCCTGAGCCGCGGGATGGGCTTCTTCTCAGACAGAGTGTTTTTGAGGAACCGGGCCAGTGAAGTGGCCGGGCGAGGTGGAGGGCGGCCCAAGTCCGAGCTGAAGCCCAGGCCGCGGTGGGCGCCGAAGGCGGACAGCGCGCGCTGGAGATTGCGCTGGCGCGGCGTGAGGAAGCCCCAGAAGGGGTGTGCGTAGCGCACGGTGGGCACCGGCAACTCCTCTTCCTCGTCGTCATCCTCATCCCCCAAGGACAGAGGGATGTCCAGAGAGGGGGGCAAGGGCACCTCCAGTTTCTCCTTCCCGAACAGTTTCACCTGGGGCCGCGGGAAGAGGCGGAATCTCCGGACGAGGGACAGCTTGGACCTGGAAGGCTTGTCCATGCCCTGCTGCTCGAAGAAGGCGGAGCTCGGCAGGCGGAAGGAAGTGCTCTGCCGCTCCCCCGCCGCCCCCGCCGCCCCCGCCGCCTCCGGCTCCTCCTGCTCCTCCAGCTCTGCGATGTCATCCATGGGGTGCGCGTATGGGTTGTGGGGCGTCAGGATGGGTGGTGGTACCCACGGGTACGCGAAGGGGGACTCCTCCGGGTAAAGATAGGGCACTTCTGGGGCGTAGATGGCCTCGTCCCCTCCACCATAGATGCCTTCCGCATAAGGGGCACCATAGGGCGCCCCATAGGGATCAAAGTAGGGTATGTCGTACGGGAGGTCGTATGAGAGGTCGTAGGGCTGGTACGGTGCGTTGTAAGGTGCGTAAGGATCCAGGTAGTAGCCGTGCGGATACGCCTCACCTTCGTAGCCATCATAGTGGCTGTAGGGAGACGCATACCCCGATGGGGGCGCATAGGGGGGCTCATAATCATCGTAGCCGTAGCCGTAGGTGTATCCGGGGTAGAAGGAGCCGCCATAGTAGTCTGGGTGGTAATAGTCGTAGGGGTCCTCGGGCGGGTAGGCTCGGGACAGCCAGGCCGGGCCGTAGGGGCCGTGGGGGCCGTAGGGGCCGTAGGGGTCATAGCCGGCCAGGTGGGGTTCCTGCTCCTCCTCGTACTGGTAGAGCGACTGCTGGTCATAGTAGTCGTCGCCCTCGCGGTGATAGTCATAATACTCGCCCAGGTCCTGGAAGCCCTCGAGCCCGTACAGTGACTTGCGGGAGCCGGAGTGCCGGAACGGGGCCTCGTCCTCGAAGGGCAGGAAGCCCACCGGCTCGCCCGACGCGTAAATGCTGCAGCTGCGGGGAAACCTCCGGAGGCGGCCTCCGTGCCGCAGGATCTCGGCGCCCGAGGGGAAGGGCAGCTTGCTGGAGCCCACGCGGGAGCCGGAGCGGTTGAGCCAGGCGTCCAGCGTGGCCTGCTCGCTGCCGGACTCCTCGGCCTTCTTGATGAGGAACTTCTTGGTGAGCCAGTTGATGGCCGTGGACGCCTTGCTGAGCGACCGCGCGCGGGGCCGCAGGCGGCCGTAGCCGCGCCGGCCGGGGAAGCGGATCACCATGAAGGAAGGCTTCTTGCCCTTCATGGCTCGCTTCTTCTTGCCCACGCGCATCTGCGTCATGAGCTTCGACGTGGACTTGAGCACCGTGCGTGCCTTCCGCTTGCGTTTGGTCTTTTGCGGGCCAGTGTGGAGACCCCAGAAGAAGGCCGACGCACTCCGGAATTGCCCCTTTTTGGAGATCTTGGGCGTGCGGTCGCGGAAGCCCATGAACAGGCGCGATGTTCCTTTTAGGCTCCGTTTGGGCTTCTCGGGCTCCGGAGCCTTCTTCCCTTTCTTCCCTTTCTTGGCTTTCTTCTCTTCATCTTCCTCCTTCGCCATGGCGCCCCTCTTCTCCCCACCTGGCCGCGGCCGGTGTCAGAAGCTGAGAACCTTGGAGACACAGTGACCTGCTGGGTCTCCTGCCTGTGGCTGGACACGCGGCCTCTTCAGGCTGGGAGCAGCCGGGACTGGCCCCCGTGGCCTGGGGAGGGACGGCCAAGCTGCTTCTGGCCGGACAGGACTCTGAGAGGGTGGATCCATAATTCATCTCCTCCAGATGCCGCCTTAGGTTTCACCTTCAAGTGGTGGTGGAAAGTGTGTGGGTGTTGTTTACTGGAAGCAGAGGAAGCCTGTGCTGGGGCAGACTGTAAGGACCTTAGAGTTGCCATGAGGGCATCTTTGCCGACAAGGGTCAGGCCCTTCCAGTGCTCCAATTAGCTCAATCCACCAGAATGAGTGCTTGGGTCACTGCCACTTCAGGGAGGAAGACACTGAGCTCCAGAGTGGAATCTGCCTGCCTCAAACCATCCAGCATTCTGTAAAAGGCTGCAAGTGGACCACATCTCCTTATCCGGGGGGGATGTGCAAAGCCCACCAAGTCTCCTAATTGAAGAAGAACCTAGGACCCTTGAGGTCCTGGGTGAGGGAAGAGGGGAGTGGGTAGGGCAGGTGCCCCGGCTGCGGTGAGTGTAACAGGAGCTGGCCAGCTCTCTAGAGTGTAAATAATGCATCAGGGAGAGCTAGGCTGCTGGTTCCGAAGGCAGGGCAATGGGGGATGTGCCTAGTGGGACTCCAGCAGGCCTTGTGAGACCCCATACAGGGGATCAGAGTATCAGAAACAGAAATAGGGGTTAGGGGTGTCAGACTTGGCTCTGATCCCTGTCCTTGCCACTGACCAGACATCTGAACTCAGGAAAGGTCTTTCATTTTTTTAAGATTTATTTATTTATGCATCCAGAGCTGGGGTACAGGCCAGAGGTGTGGGGGGAGTGAGAGGATTCACCAGAGAGAGTGTGAAGCAGAAGAGGCAGACTGACGAAGCACACTGCTGAGGGGGACAGCAGTGAGACAGGAGAGGTCTGCCGCGCCATGTGGGTCAGCTCCCTGGCTAGCTATTCATAGCTTTGCGCTTCAACAGGTCACACCACCAGGAAGGGCCCCGGATTCAGGAAAGTTCTTGCCCTGTCTAGGTCTCAGTTTCCTCACCTGTCAGATGGGTAATGCGCCATGCCGTGTCACTTTCAGAAGGAGGAAGCAAGAACTGATGGAGACACCAAGTAGCACAAGTGCCGCGCTGGCGTGTGCCAGACCCTAGCCTCTCCTCCCAGTTTCTACCCTAGAACGAGAAGGTGGAGGTTGTGTGGCCCCTGCCCCCTCTGGGCACAGCTGATCACCCCAGGGTAGACATTTCCAAGGTCATGCACCCACTGTGTGGCCAGAAACCAGTCCAATTCACTTTTGAGAATGTGCACTAAAAGGGCTGTGTCCCGTTAGCTGACAGGGTCAGGGAGAACTCGGGGGTAGCATATCTGGGACTGAAGACCTCAAAGCTCTTCCTCCTCTCCCTCTTTCCCCTCCTTCTCTTCCTTTCTGTTCGAGGTTCAAGAATCAGGACTACAAGGGCCCAGGCTGACAGAAACAGACTTCTAAGTAATGTCAGGCTCTGCTCAATGATTCTGTGTAATCTTTAGGTAGTGCAGCCAATTCTTTGGTCATTTAAGGTTTTGCATAGGCGGCCCCTATGTTGAGAGTTTCTGGCCCTGATTCTGTCACCTGCTGAGGACATGCCCTCAGGTGGCCTCAGAGCCTCAGCTAGGAAGTGGGGACAGGAGGACTGTTCCCGGGCAGGTGTAAAGGGCTGAGGGTGGACAGGCATGCAGCGTCTTGCCTTTCTCCTCATCTGTCTCTCCTCACTTCCTCTACCTCCACTTTCTTCTTCTTGTCTCTGCTCTTCCTCTTCCAAGACTCGTCAAGAGTCAGTCTGGGGCTCAGCAATTCAGGGGCGGTTATGCTAGGTACTGCTGCAGGTAACCTCCAGGGGGCTGGAGGGCACTCAAGGGACACTGGAGCCATCAGGCAAGCTTCCTGGGGAAGGGGCAGGCAAGGAGGGAAGGTCTCCAGTAGAGTCTTGAGGAAGCTGCAATCTGCCCACCCCTCCTTTCTATGCTGCTCACTCCCCCCTTTCTTTCTGGGCAGTGGTGTGGAGACAGGTGGGGGGACCCTGGTCTCTTGAATGTAGAGACAATAGGATTTACAGGTGAGTCACAGTAGCTACAGTTACTTCCTTACTTAGATGAAGAAGCTTCTGGACATAGTATGTAGACAAGGAAAGACTAGATTTCAGCTACGGATGTGATGGTTTTAGATGTCTGTTGGGTGCTGGCCAGGGAACTGGGTGGGGCATGTTGTGTGGGCTAAGGGTGGAGGGAGGCAAGATTTAGCACTGAAATGAGGGCTGATGTGACACCTGGTAAAGGAAGCAGAGGCACGTAGGTGGCGTTGAAGCCACATGCTGGAGGATGACACCAGGCAATGAGTGCAGATGGAGGAGGGGCCCAAGAACAAGCCTTGGGCAGTACTGTCCGAGGCCAGTGAGGCTGTGAGAGACCAGGAAGGTCAGCAGGCGGTGGAGGCAAAGGGGCCCCTGGGTTGGCTTTTGGATGAGGGCTGACTGTGCGACGTGGCTGCTTACAGCTTCATGGTGGCCTCAGTGGAGTGGTGTGGGCAAGGGTGGCTACAGTCTGACAGGGGCGGGTTCCGGAAAGGATCTCCATAGTGGCCCCAGTATACAAGAATGTGAACATAAAGCCTGCTGCCTTGTACACATCTTAGTCGGGGAGTCGTATGGTGTGTGAAGTATAGCCCAATAAAGCTGTTACAGAAAAGAAAAAAAGGATGGAAAGGACCCACCGCTGGGATCCCGTCCTCCAGAAAGAAGGCCTGAGCACGGAGCCATGGCAGGCAAGCAAACTGTTCATCACCGCTGAGCTCCGTGGTTACACACAGCTGTCAAAGGGATGCAGATCGCTGTGTCCTGTTAGGGAATGAGCTTAATGAAAGAAGCGAGCGCAGAGTGGCATCTGTGGGGCACACCAGGCCTTTGTTTGTGTGTGAGAAGAATATAAATGATTGCTCTTGTTTACATGCAGAAGAATGGAGCAGATACACAAGAAATTGATGAGAATAATATCCTACTGTAGATCTTTATATCAGATCGATTTTTGAATCATGTAAATGCACTTCTGATTCCAACCAACAAAAACATAACATTTACTAAGAGAAAAGGCAAACTCCAGATTGTCAGCCTCAGGCCACAACCCCACCATAGCCCCTACCAGTCAGTCTCCTGGCAGCGGGTGCCAGGAGGAAGCCAGACCTCTAAGTGCTGCGTCAACTACAGATGCCTGTGCCCAGGACACACCACTGAGCTATGCTGGGTGTGGCTGTGGCTGTGCTAGGGGGCTGGAGGTTCTGGCAGCTGAAATGTTAAGCTGCTGTCCAACATGGAGAAACTCTGGGGTTGTGGGGTTGGTGACTCAGAGTTCTGGGTCTGTGCCTACTGCTGTCTGGGATCTGGCCTATGTAGGGTCTGACTGCACTTGGGTGTCGTACTACCGGCACCTCCTACATGAGCATTAAGCTGTCACCAGAGAGCCGGGCACAGTGCTGGCCTGAAAAAACTCTGCCGCCCAGGGGGGCCAACGCTGCACTGGAAGTCCAGGAAGGTTCTCCTGGGCTGATCGAGAGGTGAAGGATGAGAGGGAGCTAGGCAAGTGGAAGAGGGAACAATGTTCCAGGCAAATGGAACAGCACCTGCCAAGGCCAGGTGATGAGAGGGTGGGGCTGTGTGGGCAAGGGCTGAGAAGCAGCCAGGCTGACAGTCAGGGACCTACAAAGTCATGTGGGCTGGGGTGGGACTTTAGCCACCGCCCTAGAGTAGTGAGGAGAACTGCAGAGCTGTACTGTGACCAGATTCACACTTTGAAAATCATAAAAATCATAAAAATAACAGTGTTAAGTTTTACTGTATGCCAGGTGGGTGCTGAATGCCTTCCCTGCTATCTCACTAGATTCTCAGGTAAGATGAAAATGGCCCCTCCCATTGCGTAGATGAACGGCCGGGTCTTTGGGCAGATCACTCACAGAGAGATGCTGGGCTTGTGCTGAGAACAGGCCACGTAGGACATACTCAAACCTCACTGCAAATCGCAGATGTGGCTTCAGGTGAGAAAACAGGCCCAGAGACACACAATTTGAACATGGATTCAAGGCCAGGCAGTGTGTTTCCCCAGTGTCCATGCTCTCAAACTCTGCCTCGCACTGTTTCTGGGGCGCTCTTGGGCCATTATGGGAGGCTGGGGAGGGGATGCACAGTGGGAGCAGGAAGAGTGGGCAGTGGACACCTTCAAGTAGAACAGTCAGGGCTCTGAGGGGCTGCGTGGGGTTTGGGTGAGCAGGGAGTGTGGGGAACGCTTGGGGTTCACTGGGTGCAGCTGGATGATCAGGGGAATCATTCTCTGAGGTGAAGTGTGTGGTGTGGGAACCTGCCTGGGTTGGTCTGGGACTGAGGGACTTGGGGTGACTTTGGGATGGCAGGTGAGGAATCAAGTCTGTTTAAACCCAATGGCCCAGTGAGATGGAGGTGTAGGGTGGGGGAGCAGGGATGAGTCTTTCTAGGAGTGAGAATGGGGGCCTCCCACTCTGGCTTCTCAATGACATTTGGGAAGGAGACAAGAAGCTGCCAGAGGAAGGGGCGTGGTGAAGATTAACACACTGATATGGATGAATTTGCAAGCCCTGGGTTTCTTGGTAGCAAAATCTTATAAAGCTGCAGGCCAGGCTAGCCCCAGGAGTACAGTTATTTGAGCACAAAGGGAATGTGGGTCACCCGTGTCAGCCTGCTCCATGGGATGCCTGGGGCGTGTGTGTGTGTGTGTGTGTGTGTGTGTGTGAGGGTGGGGGGTGGTGGTGAGTGATGAGAACAGGTTAGCTGCCTGGGGCTGGGCCAACCCTCAGGGGCCCACAGGGGGCTCTCTCCAGCAGGAAGAACACCTCCCCCTGCCAGTTCACACAGGCATGTGGTTCCATGGGCTCTCCCGTAGGTTTAGGCACTGTAATCACTGTCCAAACCCAGAAGGCCGAGGACAACAGAAATGCAGATTGCTTGATCCATGGACAGACCCAGCCCATGTAACCAGCCCGTCCATGGTGTGGCTACGGTGGTAGGAGCCGCCAGTGCTGTCCCCGACCCACTGCCAGAGCACGTCTGGCTCGTCTCCCATCCTTTGCCAGCTTGGGAGAAAGAGCAGGCCTGGATCCAAAGCCTGTGAAGGGCCCTTTCCTACCTTTAAGGCAGGAAGTGGCAGTGACCATCACCCAGGCAGAAACTCTCATGTAGTACCTCATGGCCAGCCTCAGGGTAGTTGGGGAAAGGGCTGAGGGACGCTGCTAAGCACTTACCCGCAGTTGCCAAGAGAACTGCATGGACATCATGATGTCCATTTTATAGACAAAAAGAAATGAGGTCCAAAGGACTTTACAGTGAGTTAGGAGCAAGGGCCCAGCCTTCCCCTTCCCTCTTTTCCCTGCATTCCCGGGAGCTAGTGACAGACCCTAAGGCCAGGGCCTCCTTACCTGGGTCCCGTGGCCGGTTCCCTGGCTGCATGCCGTCAAATGGGGGCCCTGTGGCTGGCTCCAGGAGCACGGCCGGCCTTGCCGAGCAGCTCACTGTTGTAGAAAAGGGAGACCCAGCCCACCACGCCAACCGCCTGGGGCTCCATGTATATTTAATTATGTCTATTATTCCTGTTTTGTCTCCGGAAAGGGGCCCTAGCAGGTGACAGAGGAGCTGGTAACAGCCTGGAGAGCTGGGCAGAAGGCCTGCTCCACACTCCAGCTAGGAGATCCCAGGGGAGCTTGCTACCCCTCCTGGCTCAGTGCCTAAGCACCTCAGAAGGTGGCATATTTAGGGCCTACAGTCCCTGGCAAACCCTCTCAGGTAGACCCTGCCCTGGTCTAAGCCCCAGACTTGGGCCTCCTCTGACTCCACCCACTCTGATCAACAGGCTCATTGCCTTTCCCCCACACAACCAGATAACCAAGTTCATCAAATTTACAAAATAGTCCTCAGTCTAAACAGAGATTGATTTTACCTTTTATTTCAGAAAGAGTCAGGAAGTTTAGAGAGAAAATATATAGAACCCAAACTCCAAGTACCCACCCTCGATGTCTGTGCAGGGCATGGGTCTTGGGGCTGAGTAGGGGCTGCCCTAGAGGGGGCGGCACTTCAGGGCTCCCCCCAGGCTGTGTGTGTGGGGGGGTGAGCTGGGCCTTTAAAGCCACTGACCTCTGTTTCACCATAGGGCAGCCCTGTGTGTATGTAGGTGTGTCTGTGGGTATCCATCCTGGGAGGTGTCCCCAGGTGCCAGAGAAGCCACAGACGCCAAAGGGCCGAGGCACCCTAGCAATGACTACTGTCTCCAGGGAGCAGCAGCATGGCCTGCCCACCCCAGCACCAAGCAAGTTATTTGCATGAAGCCCTGCCTGGGTGGTAGGTGGGCAACTTGCTTCCTTAAGTGTCTCCTAGAGGCTGAAGTAGGGCTCCCGCCCAGAGCTCCAAACTCAAGCCCCATCTGAGGGACAGTCTTACAGGAAATGGCCCGAGCCCAGCCGAAGTCCCCCGACCTCATCCCTCTGCCCCAACATATTCTTTATCATCTGCCTACTGAAGAAACTTCTGGAAACAGCAGACACTTGAGGGACCCCTTCCTGGGGTATGTGTATTTGTATTTTTCCTGTTTGGGCTTTGGTCTATCCCAAGAAGTCCAACTCCCCAGAGAGAGAGGGTGTGTGGGTGGGTACAGCAGGAGCCACTACTTCTTGACGATCTGGATGACATCCTCGTGCTCCATGGTGTGGGTCAGGCCTACTCGCTGTGGGCTATATTTGGTGCTGGTACCCTGGCCGGGAGAAGGGGACAACAGAGGGAACCATATCAGCCTCCATATTGACCAAGGCCAAGGCTGACGGGGCTACCAGTGGGGGAAGACACGTGTTAATGCCAGGCTCTGAAGGAGAGGTCCCAGCATGGGCAAAACCCACAGGCCTCATGCAGCAGGATCTACAGGGGTCTGACTGTCCCTGGGCCCCACAGGTGGAAAGGACCGAGTCCAGCCTAGGTCAGCATGCACACCCATGGATTGTGAGGAACACGTGGTCTGCACATAGGGCAGGGACAGCATGCAGGGACTTGAGAATGCCTAGTTCCCGCCCAACACAAGGACCGTTCAGGGTTGACTGACCCCAAGCCCGCCCCTCAGCCAAGGACTCACCCACACCAACGCATACTTGAACTGGCTGGCGAGTGACCGGTGGATGCGGTGGCACTGGTGAACAGAGAGAGTCAGACAAGATAAGGCTCCTCCCAACCCCGCCCCAAGTTTGGCCACACCCCAAGCCTAGGGCATATGCCAAACAGTACCAAGGAAGGTACTCGAGCAACACTGGCCTGCATTAAGGAAGGACATGTGGTCACTCCACATGTGCCTCACTGTCACGGGTTACTCTGATGCTCCACTTCCAGGTCTGTCTAAGGGCTCTGGGGCCCAGTTCTAGAGTAAGTCCAGGGCCAGGCTGTCAGCACCCTCTGCCGCCTTGTCCAAATAACAGACCTGACAGATATCCTTGTAGGTGGGCAACAGCCACTTTAGCGGCTGTGCCTGACCACTGCCCATCAGACCTCCTGGGTGCACATGACATCATTCACCCCACCCCGGGACAGCCCTCGTGCTCCGACACTCCCAGCTAGGGCCACAGGCTGCAGGAATCACAGTACGCTTAGGAGGCCAGAAGGAGAACTTGGAGGGGTGGCGAGTTCTCCCCGAGAATATGGACTCTTGGTTGTATAGTGCTGGGAGGACATGATGGAGGTGGACTGAAGACATAACGTGCCCAAAGCCTCCCAGGCCCAGGTCAGAACCAAATGCCGTGGCCCAGCTTTGTTCTGTTTGCCCAACAATTAAAACCTACTGGCAAATTTACAAAGCAGGATCATAGTTGCAAGGGTTCTCCTGAGACTCTGAGGGATTTGGGAGTCCTGGGCGGGTGCTCATGCCTTTGAAGAAGGGGTGTGTGCTCTCCAGTTTGCCACAGGCCCCATCCTGCCCTAGCGCCTACACTAAGGTCAAGCGTCGTTAAGTAGGACCCATCCGTCCTCTAGTTCTGGTTCTTCTCTTGGTACTTGTGTGTCCAGCAGCAGGAGAATGGAAGGCCGTCTTTTTCGGTCTGGGCTAGGTGCACTATATAGGTCCTGAGGGGTCCGTGACCCCTATGGCACAAAGACTGACAGGATGGAGGAGCTAGGATGGGACCCCAAAACTGCTGACTTCTGTATCGAACTGCAGGCCTTTTCTTACCCTTGGGTCTGGCATCTGCTGTCCTTAACCTTCTGTGCCAGCTGATGGCTAGGAGTTAGCACTCCTCAAATTGGCGCCTACCTATGTGGCTTTGTACCTGTTATTTTCAGTGTCTAGACCACTCTCTCCTGCTATTAGCTTCTGCTTCTGTTATGAGCTAGAGCCGCTTTGCTTGGTACTGATGCTCAATACTCATGTGCTAGGTTCAGGAAGGCAGCAGACATTCGGGGCATGGGAGGCTGCAACTCAGAGTCTAGGCCAGCACTGGGGAAACAGATTATGAAATGATACACAAGTATCCCCGGCAGCAGCTGCCCTAAGGGAATACCCTAGGAGCCTGCGGCCCTGGGATACTAGGACAGTAATGGACACCTACACAGCACAGACAACATGCCGAGGGCTTCCCATGCTTGACTCGGATCACCTACCCCCTCGCGATCAGGGGGATGGGCAGCAGAGCCCCTGTCTCACAGGAGAGGGATGGAGTTTCAGCATGTGGCTGAAGGCCTGCGACCCCAGCTGTCGTTCCAGCTGGGCTTGCCACTCTCTATTGCAGCATATTCCGGCCAAGGGCTGGGGAACCCCAGGGACAACCTGAGAGGGAGGGAGATTCCTGAGCCCCGTCTAGGCAGGTCTCGTCAACTCACCACATGCTCTACAGAGGCTCCTTTCCGGAGGATGATGGCGTCTGTGAAGTCTGGCCTCTCTGTACAGGTAGAGGTGGGGTGGGGGAGAAGTGTGGTGGGCCAGGGGTAGGTCAACCAGTCACAGCCCACATGCTGCTGTGGCTCCTTTACATGAGGAAACACAGGCCCCTCTGGCCCTGAGCCTCCACCTACTCTTTCTCCCCTACTTGGCAGACCCTCACTGTAGCGCCTGTGCTGTCTTCTGACTTTTACCTTACTACAGAAAATCAAAATAAATCCAAGTCCCTAATCAAACTGCCTTTCAGTCATGAGAACCCCAAATGAGATGAGAAATGGGGAGCATCCAAACAGAACTGGCAGATGTGACAGCTGCTTGTATTAAGTCAGGGGTGGCACACCCTACTGTCAAGGTCAACTTTGGACTCAGTTAAATCGCTAAAACTTGGTAGTGGATCGGGGGATGTGAGGTATGGAGACGCAGGGAAGTCTGCTGTGTGGTTACCTCAAGTCCTAACGGGGCTGTCAGTGCTGGGAGACAGCAACGGGCAGGTTACACTATAGCATCTGGGGAACTCTAGGGCAGCCCTTATCTCTCTGCCCCCCTCCCCGACTCTCGAGTGGCTTCGAGACTGGCAGCCAGAACTCAGCATCCCTTGCCTAGGGTTCAGGCGGAGGCTCACCGGGCTGCAGTAGAGGGCAGCGCGGGCTCTGAGAGGGGGCGCAACGGGGGCATGTAAAGACTAGTGGGCTGGGGGCTGGGTGTGGGTGGGCACTGAGTCCTCTGGGTACCACAGGCAGAGCCTGGCAGACCTCTTAGGAGGGTGAGGCTCAGCTGATTTCCCAGTCTTGGGCTCCCGACTCACGTCCTCTCTTCTTGGTGTAGATGCAGGTCAGGGCCAGATACTCCCAGAGCATTTCAAGCAAGTAGTCGAGGTTCAGCTTCATGCCGCAGCTGTGAAGGAGGAAGGCAGTCAACCAGGGGCCCTGTGGGCTCAGAGCCAGGAGTCCCTGCTTTCTCATTGCTGCACGGACAATTTCCATTTGGCTGGGCACAGGCATCAAGGCCAGTGTAGCTCAACTGGGGCCTGGGGGGAGGGGGAGTGGCGTCTGCACTTCTGACGCTGGTTTGCCACTTCGCTGCCAGAGCCTGTAGTCACCCAGCGCAGTCACATCCAACAGAACTCGGCCTCTCTCCTGAGGCCACAGCTGTGATCTGCGGAGGGCACAGGGATCTCAAATTGACAGTCCTCACATTTGGGTTCTGCATCCTCAGCTGACATCCATACCCGTCACCCCCACTTGGCACCTCAGCATCTTGCTCCCATGAACCAAGCCCCGCGGTGAAGTCACAGTGTTTTGTGTGAGCTGAGACAACAGCAGAGTCTGTCCCCAAAGTGGAACCCCAGGGGCTGGTGGGAAGTGAGCCAACAGCCATCAGGCAAAGCACGGGTGGCACACCTAGAACACTCTGCAAGAAGGATGCCCCGCCTGCTAAGGACTTCCGTTCTGCCTTCCCTTGACTGTGGTGAGAGAAGCCACACAGGTCAATGATTCAGACCCCAGGGCCTTCTGGGGGACTGTGGTTAACTACTAAGCTAGGAATCCTCCTAACATTCTTAACCATTTCCCCAGGGGAATGAATCTTTCTGCTTTCTTAACCACAGTTGTCCAACATTACCCACCCTGCCGAAGCTGATGCATGGTAGGACTGGCAAGGGCACCAGAAACTAGCAGGAGGGTCTCCTCTGCCCTGGATGTGCCAAGGAGGCTTTGGCAGAGGAGGCTGGGTGACCTGACTGATGTGCTCACAGAGGAAGGCCACCAGGGCGGCAGGGTGCCAGGAGCCTCACCTGATGACAACACTGTTTGGTTTCCGGGCCAGGCGGTCCACTTCTTCCATCGAGATCTGGTCAATTTTGTTATAAACCTGGGTGGCAAAAGTGGAGGCAGCTGTTAGGCATGGAAAGGAACTAAGCAGTGCAGGAAGAGGCCCCCTAAAACAGCATGGCTCCTCCCTCTGTCTGTGTGGCCTTGGGGGTCAATCTCAGTGTCCTCCTTTGGCCAATGCCTCAAGTACAGAGAAAGGCTGAAGGGGCCTGGTTTCTGGCACCCACAGAAGTAAGGGGTGGGCTAAAACCCCAGTGTCAAGCAGACATGTCTGGAATAATCAAGCAGCAGCTGGGGGGCAGAGGAGGGTAGGTGAGAGATAGCTCCAAGCTCTTTCTATTCCTCTCAGAAGCCTGCCTCCCCTCTGATCAGCCTGGGGTGAGCCCCCCTGCACATGAGCACCTGGGGGCCGGTGCTACTTACATACAAGCAGGGCATGTACACTCGGTTGCCCACGATCACATCAATGAACTCATCTGGGGAGCAGTCTTCTCGGAAAAGCACTTCTGCGTTGAAGATTTCTGAGGGACTCGGATTAAGGCAACTTGAGTGACAGCAGCCCCTTGTCCCCCAAAGACGAGGGCCCAAAATACACTGGCTGAAGTGGACCTTGGAGGATATCTGCTCGTGCGGTTTCTTTCATCTCTTCTCCCCCCACCCAGGAAACACAATATATAAAAGTTTCAATCAACAGTTTAAATCTCTGGTCAGGTAAGGGAATCCCTCAAATCCTCAGTGCACCCCAGGTTTCACGGCCAAGAGAAGTGCTACTGAAAACACTATCCAGCCCAGCTTCTCCCCATGCCGAAGGGTCCTGTGGGAGCAGCGGCCTCTGCTTACACACCTGCAAGGTACAGCCTCATCACCCGTCCCACCACGAGTCTCCCTTTGGTTAACTCAACTCTGTCTCTCGGGTGCTGTCCAGTGTTCCAGGGCTGGAGAAGCCCCAGCCCCAACAATGCTAGTGGTGTGCACAAGCCAAGGCTTCCCCAGGCCAAACCTCTGGTCCCAGGCATTTCCCTCGCCATCTCATCTATCTTCCTTCCTTCCACCTTATCTGGAGGCTGCCACAGTGCCCAAGAAGCCAGGAAGTCACTGCTGAGGGCAGGGCTGCACCCAGCCAGCCTGGAGCTCAGTGCGCACAGAGGCCAAGAAGACAGGAAATAGCTCACGTCAGCTGGATGCAGCTTTCCTGGAGGAGCTCAGGTGGGTGTAGGAGGCTTGGGTGGTCTGTTGTCACCTGGGCCCCACGTGTCATATCTCAGGCAGCCTGGGGGCCAAGGGCCTCCCTCCTCTTTTGGGAAGGATACTGTATTCATGCAGGATCAACTGTACCAGCTTTTCTGAGCACTGGGTCAGCGTGACTGTGGAGTTAAAGGAGATGCCACCACCCTTCTTGGGCTACAGAGGGGAGAGGGAAGATTATTAAAGGGGCAGCTGCAATAGCCCCCTCCACTGCAGGGCAGCCCGCACTCGAGGGGCCTCACCTTGAAGTAGATGTTGGGTTTGTGCTTGTTGAGGCGGATGCCCACAGACTCTAGCTCCTTCTCCAGCAGAGACCTGGCAGAACCCCACATGCCCCAGTGCCACGTTACACAGAAAGCACCTGCCCACCCAGAACAATGTCCCCCGCTACCTGCCCCCAGCAGCCCAAAACTACAGAGGAAACGCCTCTGAAACCTCTGCCTAGTCAGGGGTGACTGACCGGATCTGTGCAGAGGCAGGTCTGACGGCAGGCCTCAGCTGCATGGGGATGGGGTCCCTGCAGTTCTGGACAGCGACTGAATGCAAGTGGGAGCCAGGGTGAGATGACCCCAGCCAGTCTGTGCTGCCAGGGGCTCCCGGCCTGGCCTTTACCTGTTCACCAGACCAAGGTCCCCCACAAGATGCCTTTGAGTTGGGCACAGACCTCAAAAAGTGGTGGTTCCAGGGCGATCTTGTTGGGTTTAGCCTGTGCACAGTCCTGCCGCTACCCCGACATGTGATGGGGCCACGCACAGCCTGGGCCTCCCACCAAGAGCTCAGGGACACAAGAGACAGAGCCCCAGTGTTCCGGTGCCACCCCCGGGTGTCTCCCCAAATAAGCCGGCCTGCCCTCTGCCCCACCCTGCAGACCTCTGCACCTCTCCCTTGGTAGCATCCAGCATCATGATGACAACGTCGGCCGTGCGAGCCACAGCGATCACCTGCCGGCCACGGCCTTTCCCTGCGGAGGTGGAAGGGAGGCGGTTACACTGTGGAAGGGCAGGACTGTGGGGCCCGCCGGCTCCCGTCCTTCACTAATGTGCATGGCCTCTGCCACACGCTGCTCCCCGGGTTGTGATTTCCCTGGCATCTTCCCTAAATCCATCTGTTCTTGTACTTGTGGAGACTTTGAAAAGACCTGACAGCACAACCTGAGGTGGAACAAGGCCCTGCCCCTGCTGTGCACAGGCCGAGCTGAGCGCGCATGACAGTTTCTCACTTACTCCTGCAAACTACCCTCCCTGTGCCCTGGGGGTCACTACCCCAGTTCGCAGGTAACGGAAGCCTGGCTCACAGGTTCTCAATTAATTGCCCCATGATCCCAGAGCAGCGTGATGCCAGGAGTTGAACTTGTCTGTGTGTGGGGTGACAAGACCGACCCACCCAGGGCTGCCACAGGACCACACAGGAGGAAGCACCTCAGGACTGCCACATGAAGGCCAGACCCCAGCGTATCGGTGTCCAGAGAAGTCAAGCACGTGTGCCACGGTCGCACGGGAGCTGGTGGCTGAGAGTGCCGTGCAGAATCCAGGGGTATGGATCTCGGCCATGCCCTGCCCTCCTCTTCAGGGAGCAAGAGGTGAGACCAAGTGATTCCCTTTGCCACCCGCCTCGACTACCTCCAGGCCCTAACATGCTGGCTGGGACAACAGAAGCCTTGGGGACCACTCTCCCACCCCTATCTGCTGCCCTAATTCCCTGGCGAGGGTGAGCAGGTATGGGAGGTTCAGGGAGAAGTGGCACTGGACTCTATGAGGAGGAGGCCAGCTCAGGCTGCTGAGTCGAGAGCCAGGCTCCAGCCCCAACCCTGCCACCAACAGCGACTAGTCACTCAGGGCGAACCCTTTACCTTTGTGTCCCCAAGTCCTCTGGGCTATGAAAAGGAAATGACATTCCCTAAGTTGCTGGACTACCTGAGGATTATGTGAGATAGTGGGGTCAGCACAAAGCCTGGCACTGAGCAAGAACCGGACAATCGTCAATGCTGCAGAGGTGACCTGCCACCAAGGGCAGGTTCCCACCACAAAAAACCAAACCAACAAGGACCAGGCTCAGGACCAGGGTCAAGGTCCATGCTAGGCAGCTCGCAAGCATCCACTCCTCACTGGGGTCCTGCCAGCAGCACAGTGGACACTTGGAATCGAAGTGGGAGTTCCAGCCTGTCTGGTGGCTATGTGACCTCGGGCAAGTCATTTTACTGCTTCAGTTTCCTTGGTTTTCCATTGGGGCTTCTCAGGACTCTATGAGGCCAGAGTCCCTTAGATACAGTGCACAGAGCAGTGCCTGGGGCCGAGTATACCTCTCACCTGGGAACCCGCACTAGTCATACCCAGTTTCAACAGTGAGTCCAATCCACCAGCACTTCCCACTTCTGCTGGGGGAGAGGGCGGGTTAGGTGCTAAGCTCACTCCCTGCTCCTACCTTGTGCTGCGCCTTCAATGATTCCAGGAAGGTCCAGGAGCTGTATGTTGGCTCCTTTGTACTGGGATGCAGGAGGAAAGAAAGCAAGGTAAGAATGGGTCCTGGAAGGGCTTGCCTGGACCCAGGACACTTACACTCCCCTGTGGCTCAGGGGCTCTAGGGGCTATAGGAAACTGAGGGATTAGCCTCCAGGGCCAAGTCTGAGTTTGTCACTCTCTCCGCTGAGGAGCCACAGAAGGAAAGGTTGTTGAGTTTTTATGATCCTACAGAGCACACTGCTAATGGTAACAATTTTCACAAGTCAACTAATTCACCACGGGAGACCCAAAGCCACGGGACTCCAGCTGCCCAGCACTCCAAAACTTCAGAGCATCCTGCCACCAGCCAGGAGGGACTGAAGCTGAGTGGTGTGAGGGAATGGGGAATAGAAGAAGTGCCATATGCTGGTCTGACTGTGGGAATCAGTCATGATCCCAGGACCCCAGATTCTTGGGAGCCCGAGAAGCCAGAATCTCCAGACATGCCAATGCTTGAGGGCATAGAAGCCCAATCAGATCCTTTCCCCCTTGCAGGGATACTTGCACGTGACACACAACCAACACAAGCACATACCCAACCCCTTTCTGGGATGCTATAAGCCCAACTTACCTCAATGACCCCAGGGATACATGTCAGGGTTGTGAACTCATAGGATGCAGCTTCGCTGGCTGTGGAGGTCATTAGACTCAAGAAGGTGGACTAGGAGAAAAAGGAGGTCACCGCAGTGAGGAATCGTATCCCAATCTGCTCAGAGAATCCCCATGGCTGCAGGCTGCAAGGAGACACCCTCTAACTCTTATCTTGGTGATTTGAGTGGATATGACAGGAACAACAGAAAAGTCACCTCTGGCCCCATCCTGGGGATCACGCACTAGAGGTCCCTTAGGCACCTCAGAAGCCTCAAGGCCATCTCAGGTGGGTACAAGCATAGTTTCCACATGGTTCCTCAGGTAAATCAAGGCCTGTCCCTAGTTCCATAAGAACCTACAGCTCCTCTGGAGTCGCAGAGAACTTTAAGCAGTGACAGCCCCACAGCATGGTGCTAAAGCCAGGGAGGAGCAAGATGGGAAACGGAATGGCAACCTTCCGTCCAAGACAGAGCGAGGTGGGGGAAGGTGCTGTGAAGGGCGAGTGAGCTGGGAGGATCTGGATGCGCACACTTACATTCACTGTGGGAATGGGGTTGTAGCTTGGGTGACACTGTACTTCCTGAACCCACACCCATGGCCGACAAGGAGAAATGCATGCGGCTGGGTAGCGAGCATAAAACCAATGAAGCTAAGGGTGTTCCTGAAGATTAAGAAGCACTCCTACGTCCCAGGAAGGAATCCTGCAGACGGTGGAGCAGAACACAGCCTTCCTGCAACCTGCACCTGCCCCAGCAAGCAGCCTTGCCCTGGCACAGCATCACGTGGAAGGGGTCACGAGCAGGCGGGGACATGCTCCGAACTGTCCCCACAGGAGCCAACCAGCCCTTCTGTGGAAGGTGACCGTTTTAAAGCCCACAAACCCTACAGCCACCAAGCCCACTTTGAGGGATGCCTCCTCCAGAAACACCAGCTCTGCTGCACAAGCATCTAGCACGAGGACACGCATGCTCAGAGCCTGGGACAACCCAGTGACCCGTCAGTAGGAGAGGGACGGAGCAGGCTACTGACGACAAGTGCACCACGCACGGGTTGCAGGCAGCTGTTAGGAGGTGAGGGAGCTGCAATGTATGAATGTGACTGGTGTAGCAGTGAACCGAAAACTCCAGTGACACGTGCTGGATTCTAATTTTCATTATATATGCACGGGGACAGAGGCGGTCAGGGGAGATCAATCTCCATCTCCCCGACCCGGGTGACACAAATACCCATAGTACCGACAGTAGGGAAAACACAACACAGGGTCTAGGGCCCAGCCAGCACTCAAGAAGGGTAGCTGCTGTTAATACACCCTATAGAATGGGCCGAACTGATTTAAAAGCTGCTCCACCAGGCCCAGTCCAGACCACCCGCTGCTGCTCACTTGGCCTACATCTGAGCAACCTGTCCGGCCTCCCTGCTCGCACCCTGTCCTGCCCAGCCTAGCATGTGCACCACAGCCAGTGATGCTCTTATGATGTAAGTCAGCACCCACTTGGTTTCTAAATACTACCATTATCGAACAAGAGGAATCAGGACTCTAGAGACAGGCTGATTCTACTGCTAGGGAAGGGGATGTACAGGATGGGCCTGAAGCATCATGCAGTGTCAGAAAGAAAGTGCTAAAAACACCAAGACAGAGTACGTCAAAGAAACCAAATGAAACAGTTCGAAAGCCAGAACAGTTTCAGCAACGAAATATATAAACAGCCTATAACCCAAAGTACAAAGTAAATTCCCATCAGTTGCTAATGACATAAATACACAATTAAATACAATAAATAGGATATCAAAGAGACAAATCTCCTGGGCAGAATAATGCTGAATAATCTGGAGAGACACCCCTTACACTAGGAGCTGGTACAAACCCCATTCTTTATTTGTGGGCTGCACATAGTGATTTCCTTCCCAAGGGGACAGTGTGAATGGGGAGGAGAGTGGGAAGTTTGCAGTGGAGAAATGACAAGCACTCCCTCAGCCAGGTGATCAGGCTGACATCCACAGAGGTAAGTCACGTTGATAGGGTATACCCTTGCTATGTGATATAAAGGGCACTTCACCTGTGTCCAAAGCCCACAACTCCAGTCTAAGATGAGAAAAATATCACACAACCGCCAACCGAGCGACTTTTTCTAAAACACCTGACTAGCACTTGTCAAAACTGTCAAAAACATCGATTCAAAACAAGTCTCAGAAACAGTCATGGTCCAGAGGAGTGTACGGAGACATGACAACGCAATGTAATCCTGGTATAGAAAAAGGACATTAGAGAAAAACAAAGAAAATCTGAATAAAGTGTTAACTTCAGTTAATAACAACATGTCGACATGGATGCATTAGTTGTGTCAAGTATACCCTGGTTGGCTAAGATGTTAACAGGGGAAACTGGCCTACGGTATCAGGAGTTCCCTGTGTTATCTTTGCAATTTTTCTGTAAGTCCAAGACTACTCAAAACTGAAGTGGACAGAAAGAACACAAAATACAATCACCCAGTTGTAGAAATCAAAACCCTTAGTGTCTTAACCCTTGGCCGAAGGGCCAAGCAGCTCTCAGGCTGCTCTACCAGACTGCTGGAGGGAATGTCACAAGCACAGACATTAGGGTCAAGATGCAGAGATAGGGCCCTTTGGCAAAATGTTGCCAACAAGCCGGGACCCTTGATGATTCCACCTAGTTGGCCAAGAACAGCAGCAAGCAGGCCACTGCACAGAGGTCTGAGACTCCCCCTTTTCTGCTCCAAATCCTGCAATGATATTTATCCTATTCCCTACATAAAATACTCAATATGTATTTTATATTAATCTTAGATGCTTACAGAAGAAACCGCCTAGAAAACTGCAGTGAGGGCCCTCCCTGGGGATGCAGTGGGGTAAAGCACAGAATTAAGAAGCTAAAGCGGCTTCAGCATGAATTTGATCCCTCCCCCGGAGGTGACCCACATGGCGCGCCAGACTGCTCCTGACCCGTCTGCTGCTCCCCTCAGCAGTGTGCTTCGATGATCTGCCTGTTCTGCTCCCCACTCTGGCTCTGGAGAATCCTCTCACTGCCCCTGCACCTCTGGCCTGTACTCCAGTTCTGTATGCACAAATAAATAAACCTTTAAAAAAAGAAAACTGCAGTGATACCACTGCATGCTTCACTGAAAGGCAAAGTCACAGAGCAGCCTAGAATGTCACCTATCCACCCTCTAATTTGTCTCCTACTAGTCATCCTGCTGCTCCAGCAGACTCAGCCATCCTGGATCCCTTGAACATGCCAAGTGAACTCCCACCTACTGATCTTGAAAGTGATTCCTCTGCCTAAAATGTTCTCCCCCCAAGACTCGCCAACCATCTGAACTTCCTTTGGACTGCCGCTCACCAGCAGACCTTTCTTCCTGGACCTAATGACATATGTTGGTAGGCACTCAGCCCCCACAAGCACCCCGATCCCCAGCTGTCCTCACCACTTGATATACTTGATCTTTTACTCTATTTGCTTACTGTCCTTTCTTCCTGGAGAATGAGACAGCTCTGTGGACAGAAGCAGAACTGTCTGATTCTCTGCCTATCTCCAGCACCTGGTACAAGGTTTATGTACCAGAAGAGTCAGAAACAAATGAAGTTACTGCTGCAGGGGAGAGGGAAAAATGTTCTCCAGATTAGGGTAAAAAGGGTGGACCAGATTCCTTGCGGGGAGGTGGGGATCCTGGAGCTAATCTAGAAGGGCAGTAAGAGGAGGCGAAAATCGTCAGGTCTGAAAGAAGACAACCTGCCTTTCTCCCCAGGGCCCACAACGTCACTGACCTTACCCACAGAGGGAAATCCAATCAGCGCCACTCGAGCATCGCCTGACTTCATGACATCAAAGCCTTCTCCTTTGGATGAGGCTGATTTGGACGGTTCCAGGAGCTGAGCCCTATACTTGGCCAGTTTTGCTTTCAGCAGGCCCAGGTGATACTCGGTGGCTGAAGGACATAAAGCCAGATGGAAGGTAAGCGCTTGGGCTCTCCTAGCCTCTTGGTTTAGAGGGGGTCCCACACACGTGGTGGTCAGGAGTAGCAGAACTGGACAGCAAATACTGCCAAGATCGGGAAAGAAAAGGCTACTGTTATGCTTAAAATGTCCCCTTGGCTTCTTTATTTATTAAGGATGAAAGTTAATCTCCTTATTAAGAACAAAAAGCCCCGTTCAGTGGTTCCCAACAGGGGCAGCCCCACCCCTCAGAGAACATTCTGGGGAATGCTTTCTGTTATGCTTCCAATGGGGAAGTCTCAGTGGCATTAATGGGGCAGGTGCCAGGGAAGCCATGAATCAGTCCGACACTGTCAAGTGTCCTGTGTGCCACGTGACTTCTCTCATATTCCGAAGGTACTGACAGAGGGAAATTCTGAGTTAGGGTCATTTAAGCTTAGACCCCATTTCACATATAAATACAGGGTGCTTTTTGTGTTAACACAATGTTGACATTTCTGACAATGCTGTGTGTGTCATTTTTACTTGCAACTCACCTAATGCTGCTCACCATCTGGGAACCCCAGGCACCAACTGTGAAATGTCTGAGTCCCTGACAAACCATCCCTACACAGACCTGTATCACGTCCCCAGTGATCTACCTGGGGGCGCAAGCATCATACTGCTTCACTGTCACTCTATTATACCTTGGTTGTTTGTGCCCCAATACTTACTTATTGAAATAAACACTACTTTTATTACACTTTCCTTCTCTGTATTACTGTTAGGGCATGGCATTAATCTTCTTTTTTCAACTTCTGTATGTAGAAAAGTTAGGCTATTGATGGGGAACTGCATCTAAGGACTCTAAGGGAGCTGTTACAACATCCTCCACAATAAAGGCAAGATCTGATGGAGATTGACAAGCAGGGTTTTGGTGACCTGGTCCCTGGCTACTTCTTTAGTCACATCTCTACCACTCTACTCATGTTTGTTACACTCCAGCCAAAGTGACTTCATTCCTGTCCCAGGTCCTTTGTGACTTGGTGTACTCTCAATTTTATCTTCTCAGGGCTGACATCTTTTCAACATTCAAGGGCCAGTTCAAATGTTGCCTCTTCAAAGACACCTCTCCTGCTTGGCCTTGGGATGCAGTGTCATGCAGTGGTAAGAGCCTATTTGGACTCTACCCTGCAGTTACTGGTCATTTTACTTTGGAAAAGTCACTTCATTTCCTGTGCCTGGGAAGAATGTTAACAGTAACAACTACTTCACTGGATTTCTGCAAGGCTTAAAGAAAGCATGTTAAGAACAGTAACTAGCACATAGTAAGCAGCCAAAAATCAAAATATTACTCCCTACATTAACCCCACCCCCACCCCTTTCTGTCTCATGGTCCTGTTTATTGTCTTCATCACTCTTACCAATATTTGAAGTTATCTTGTTTCTTTACTTCCTTCACCCAAAAAGGGCTGTAACTGGGACTGTCACTATAGTCCCAGCTTCCAGCACAGGTTATGTGCTCTGGAAATGTCTTAGTAAGTAAATGAACTGATGGCAGTAAGAAGTGATCAAGAGTGAGTTAAGCAACAATCAGGTCCACATGGTTCTTGTCATTTCAACTCAAGATTCTGAGTATCTCTAAAAGGGAAGGACAAGGTCTTAATCACCTTTATCCCCCTCTCCTCTACCTCTATCAAAGTGGCAGCATCTCTAGCTTTCCCTGAACTACCTGCAATGATATTCCACCATGCAGCCAGAGGGAACTTTAAAAGAGAAATCAGACTGTTTCTTCCCTGCTTACCACCCACAGTCCTGAGAACACAGCTCAGACTCCTTCCCAGGACCCCTGAGACTACATGACTGGCCCTTCGCTTTCCCTTCATTCTGTGGCACTCTAGTCACAGACTTTTAGATCCTTGAACATACCAAGTTCATTTCCACCTCAGGGCCTTTCCACTAGATGCCCCTCTGCCAATAGTCCTCCTTCAGATCTCTGTGTGGCTGCTTCCTTCTCACGTTGCTCTCAGTTCAAATGGCCTCTCCTCATGGTATTTTCTGGTGATTCCACTTTAGTAGGCTCATGTCCCACACCCGACCTCTGCTCTATCACCCTGGTTTGTCTTGATAGCATTTGTCACTGACTGAAATGATCTCGTTTATCTGGTTGCTAGTTTATAGATTGTCCACTGAAGGTTGGCCCCATAACGGCAGGAATGTGCCTGCTGTGATCACTGGCTTTAACCACAATGCCCAACATACAGTAAGGGCTCAGAAAAGGTTATAGGTTGGCTAGAAACCCCCAACTCCTGAGCCTTCAAAACTACATGAAGGCAAGGCACTGAGATCAGCCATCCAGCATTCTCTGCTTTCTGTTCCTGCAACCTCACAGCAAAACTGGCCAGGTACTGGGCCTCACACACACTAGCCAATCAAATGTTTTGTTATTCCTGACCTTTCTGATCTAGATGGTTTCCCTTACTGTCCCTTGAGTGTACCACGCTCACCTCAACCCCCATGCCTTTGCCTCAGCAAGTCCCACCTCCTCTTGGAAGCTTTCGTGGGTATCACCATTCTCTGCTCACACTTTGTGCAACTCCAGCTCTTACTATCTTAAGTCTAGATTTGCTGCTTCACTAGGTGCTGCCTACTTGGCAGGGTTTACTTTAAATGTCCAGTTCTCATTTTATCCCTAGTGCTTATACCTAAGTGCTAGCTTAGTTGTGCCACTGAAGCTCAAAGTGCTTTCCCAAGGTTTCATGTAGTTAAATGGAGGAGCCAGGGCTCAGACCCAGGTTCACTAGACCTCAGAGTCTTGATTATCTCCGTTCCACCTTGGGATGCTGGCTGCTAGGTGAGCTGTCCCTGTGAAAGGTCTCCCAACTTCCCAGCACAACAGGCACGAGTGCACTAAAATCCCGGGCCTGGCCATCAGGATATCAGAATTCAAACTCTGGCCCTGTTTCTGTATCAGGTATTTTCTGTGGACTGGGATTTCTCTACTGGGTCACCTACTTTGGAACTGCTCAAGTCTCTCAAAGGTCGCTTGCAGTCAGTCCCAGGCGTGGAACCCGCAACCTGCCGGGCCCTGTCTCTGACGCGATGGGTAACCTGGCACTTCACCGGCTGGGAGCTGGCTGTACCCGGGGGAGTTGTATCCCCACTTAACAGACAGGAAAACTGAGGCGGGTAGATGGGAAGGCCCTGCCGGGTCGGCCCTCACCCTTGTTCTTCTGCGTCCGAGCGATCTCCTTTTCGATCTCGGAGATCTTCTCCAGGATCCCCATGGCGGCGGCTGAGCTGGGCGCACCGACAAACACAGTGGCGGCCCCGGGAATTCCGGCCTGGCAGCGCCGGCGACAGAATACCGCGCTCCCGGAAGCCCACGGAGAACAGCGTCCTCGTGCGCCTGGAGTTCCGGGATTCAGAGTCCGGGCGACGACGTGGAGCAGTGTGCCCGAGACTATTGGTTCCGCCCACTGGGCCCGAAGGGGGCAGCCCTTAGCATGGGGCGGGGCTTTATCTTACTGGACCAGGGCTGAGATCCGCAGGAGCTGCGCTAGGGAGGCAGAAAGGGGATTTTGAGCGATAAAGTCCTGAACTGCAGCTCCCAAGAGTGCAGCTGACTTTGCTGCTATAAAGAAAAGACATTGAGTTGGAAAACTGTTGGCCCTTATTTTGTGT